TTGTTTATATATATATATATATATATATATATATATATACTTTTTTTTATGTCTTGATCAGAAATTGCCGCGTATTTTGCTATCAAAAAAAAATTAAAAATACGGCTAATATTTTTTTGCTTACCCATTTCTGCTATAACTCCCTGTCCTCCCCCACTTATACTTTACATACTAAAAAATATTGATAGAAATCTTGGACTGATAAAGGGGAGTGGGCACACATTTAGATACACCAAATAGCTGTGCAATATTCATTTCATAGCTTTTCCCTCCATTATTTTTGGAAAATTATTTGCTCTCAGAACCCATAATGAACTTCTTTTTTTTTCTTCGACAAGAAATGAGTTAATTCCCTTCCCACTGGTTTAGTATATGCCCCATTCACCTTTCTATAGCCCTTAAAGTTCATGTAAGATTGAGCTGAACGTAGGAGATGCAAGTATCCAGTAACAAAAATCCAGTTTTGATGGTGAAAGCTGCATTCGAGAAAGTATATAAACAAAGAAGTTTACTGGGTACCCGTGATGTTAGGCTTAAATTTAATTTCACGGCAATTACTTGGACCAGAGGGAAAAATTTTATTCTCAGATGTTTAAGGCACGATACAGGAAAACGTTGATTTATAACCGAATCAATTAGTTTGCGAACTATATTTTTTTCGAATGTGTTATTATTTTAAAAATTAAACATTTCAGAAACAGAAATAATTTCTGATTTGTTTGTTAATGATTAATTTAAGGTTAATTTAAGATTGCCTACATAAATTTTTTTTTTTACTGATTATATTTATTATTTGTTATTTTAAAAATAACGCAGCTTCTGCATTGCAAATTATAAAACAAAATTAAAGATAGGAAGATAAGGGTAATGTCTTTTGTTGAGGAAAACTGTAATAAAATGTCTCCTTTATTTATAGAGAATAGACATTTTAAATAGGAAATTTTACCCAGCTAGATTTCTGCCATTAATATCACAATTCCTACTCACAAAGTTCTGATAGAAGAATTTTAGAAAAACGTTTCAGTTTTTTGTATTTTATTGAAATAATTATAAGCTTGTTTATATTTCTGACAATAATAAAACATTTCGGATTTTTTCTTTCCTTAGGAAAAAAAGTTTTTTTTTTCTTTTTAGCTGTAAAATGCAATTGTATTTTCGTTGCTGAAATTTTATTGGATAAATTATGCAGCAAATTTCATTAAGGAAGGACACAACCATAAAATTAATGAAAAAAATTTTATTTTTATATAGTGATGCAAAAAAACCTACCTTTTATTTACCGTTACCGCCTGAACCTAGGTGACTCAGGGGATAGAACGTTGAGCCCAATGAGTTGCCCTAGGTTCAAATCGAGCAGTGACTGGTTGATATGAATTCTACTCCCGGATGGGACTGACCTCAGTGCTGTTGTAAAATATCCTCAGTGGTAGACAGATCACGGATTAGAATCCTCTTGTCGGTGGGCTAACCATGGGAGGTTTTGGTGATTTTCTTATCGATGTAACGTAAAAGTGAGGTAGTTCCATAAGAAAGTCCTCCACGAAAGTTAGTTTGTCACAACGTTTGATCCAGAAGTATCCTTATCTTATGGGCTAATCTCAAAACTACAAGGCTATGGAGTTGATCAGTGATAGTCGCAAATTCACAATTGTATCAGATGTTCAACGTCGGGTATAAAATAAAATAAAGCCATCCGAATCCATGTTGGAAAATAAAGCTGAAACTTATTGAATATTGAGAATTTTAAGGATAGACAAATCCTGGCCGCTTTCCAAATTTGATTAATGGATTTAGATTAAAAATATAACAGCTGTAATATAAATACGCAACCTATTAACAGCTGAATGTAAGTAATTTTAATTATAATAATTTTAAATTCATTTTTCCTCTTTTTTTTTAAATGTTTCACTAATAAACATACTATACTTTATTTAAAGTTTCCATTAAATTTTAAATTCAGTATCTTTTTTTTTTCTTTTTCAGTTTTATAAATTTCTTTTTAGTTTTATAAGTCACTGAATATTACTTCTTTGAAAATAATTTAAAAATATATCAGCTGAAATTAGATTTTAATATTAAAAAAGGGAAGTACTAAACTCATTAAAATTTTACATTTCTATAAACTACTATTGTTATTATAACTAAACTACTACATAAAACAAAGTTAACGTACTTTACTAAACCACTATATTACATAAACTACTGATTAATATTACTAAATCACTATATTTAAAAAAAAAACAGTTAAATGCATAAAAATCTTGAAGCAATCATGTTTTTTTAATGCTTTTTTTAAATATTTTTTATTATGTAATCAAAGTTTCAGCTGCTCGGTTGTAAGAGCCCTAACGATAACTACAAAAATTACTCAACATATTCGCCATATTCTTTGATGTATTATATTTAGCCGGACAAAAGTGCTTCTTCAAAACTCTTCTACGTCAGCTGAAATGAATGCATTAGTTGCTATTATTGCTATTATTATTATTATTAATTGCTAATATTATTATTAATTGCTATTATTGTTATTATTAATTGCAATTATTATTATTAATTGCAATTATTATTATTAATTTATATTATTATAATTAATTATTATTATTGTTATTAATTGCTATTATTATTATTAATTGCATTTATAAACTAATGCTAGTGCCAATTTAAACTGTCGGGAATGACGGAATAAACAAGGAATTTTCAAAACTCTCTTTCACCTTCCCCTTAAAAAGAGGGATTCCACCTTTTGCAACTTTATTTTTGCTTAACTCAAATGGTACGTTCATTTAAAAACAGGTATAAGCTGATTCCCGTTTAGATTAAACTTATACTTTTACCTTGCTCTATGTCCAATTGTCCGGAGGTTTTCGTAGTTTTCCTTTTCCATGTAACGGAAATGCTGGTTAATTTAACAGAAAAAGTTCTCTACAAAGGCGAGGTCAACTCAATGTTTTATTTAAGAGTTTCTTTGTCCTCTGATTTGGATTTAAATTATAAAGTTATGCAGTATAAAATTAAGAACGACGAAACTGCTGCATGAATTTCACAGATTGTAAATTATAAAATGTTCCTCTGACTTAACAAAACTTTAAAAACTTTTAGATTAGTAATACAAGTTTTTGCAACTAGATTGTATATATATATTTTTTATCATTTAACATCTCTGAAGATGTTTTTCATTCAGTAAACCGTCATTAATATTTTAATAACATCCTTCGTTTAACAGTAATCAGTAATAAGTTCTTCTAAAGTTTAAATTAGATCAGATTAAAAAAAAAAAAATGAATTACAGAGACTTAGTATAGCAAATATTTTCATAGCTAAGTCTTACGTCAATCACTATACAGGCAAGTTACCCAGAATTTCTCTTATAATTTTTTAAAATGCAATTGGAAATATGTAAAAATAAATGTATATATCTACATAAAATAAATATATATGTATATAAAATGTAAAAATAAATATATATGTTTTTGTTCATATATTTGCATAGCAAATTTACTAAGAATTACATCTTGTGAGAAATTTTCATGCAAACTTTTGTATCACTATTAAATTATTTTACACCAATACTGCGTCCCGTTAAAAATAAAAAATTAAAAAATGTAAATAAAAATAATAAATAAAAATCATATGGTTAAGCAAGTAAGCAAAAATCATTCTTTTTTTTTTATTTTTAAGTTTATAAATAAAAATTAGAAATCTACTACTAATGTGGTCTTGAAATTAAAAGAAAAAAAAAAGAAAATAACTTATAGAAGATAACAATCAATGTAACTGCTAACTTTTTATTTCAATACAAATTTATAACTCATTAATTCACAGTAGCGATTAAATCGAAAACAGAAATATATTTATAACTCTTCATTCTTCATTTCTTATCACAAAAATGTTTCAGTTGCATGGTTATACTAATTCTCACAGTCTTTTTGATGATTCGCTGTTTCCAAATTACTTTCAAATTTAATACGGGGGTTGGCATTATTTTTGACTATGTTATTTTTCAATAAATCGCCAACCATGGATCTCTTCCCATGCTAAATCTAAATCTTCTTATGCTAATCTGGGATAAATATCTTAACATCTTATCCAAATTATGATGTTTCTGAAACGGCCATAATATGCTTAAATTATACAAAGAAACTACTGACCCCAAACAGTAAAATAATTTGGACTAATAATAATTCACTTGTGCCATGCTTTGAGAGACGAACAGTCTTGATATTCTAGGAAGTTCTATTGTTGAGATGGAATTTACAAAGATACAGTGAGCAAGAAAGTAAACAGACTACCCTTAATAACTTTTGATCTAATGATCGGATCTTCACGTTCTAAGACTCAATCGTAATGATTCGAGGAGGTAACCTCAAATATGCTAATGAAAAAGCACAGGTGATAATTTGAGTAACGAAATCGGACACAAAAACGTATTTTCTCGTAATAAACATACCCTTTTTTTGACGGATTCGGATTTCTGACCCCCAAAATATAGAGGTTAGCCGCTATCTGGGAAAATATGGTTCCAGCAGTTTATTCTGGAAATGGGGTCCAAAGCTTGAACCCCTCAATTTTTAATTTAGTTTTTTGCCTTTTACGTTATATCTCAGGAACTTTTTAAGCGAGTTAAAAAAAATTGCGCATTATTATAAAATTTGTTTGTCCAAAGATAATTACATGAAAAAAATAAATTTTAGCAACTATTTACGATTTTTTATTATTTCATTTGGTAATAATGTAAGTGGCTTTAAAAGAATAACAAAAAAGCTCGCAATTTCATTGTGATTGGTATTTTCTTCACATCAAAAAAGCTGAAAAATGCAAGTAAAAACAAAAGCAAACAGCGTTTCGATTCAAGAACTTATTCGAAATTTAACCTAAGTCAGACGCGTTGTGCACTGTCATACATAAGAAGAATGGAATAAAAAATAACGCTATTACTGGGGGATTTATCACACTTCCTATGCAAAGTCTCACACAGTTAATTCTTTAAAAGCTGCTACAGATTAAAAATTTTTGTTCTTCTCCTAAAATTGAAAAGTTTAATCAGTAAGCTGTACATAAAATGCATCTCTTTCTTCTTCTTAATATCATTTTGAGATATGAGAAAGACATAGTGAAACTGTGAAAATATTCCCCCGAAAATGATAATTTCCCTCCCTCCTTCCCAAGAGAAAAAACATTTCCTGTTTTATGTGATAGTGATTTTGTAAGTTGAAGATTTTATGAATTGGCTGGAAAAAAAAATGTTCATTGAAAAGCATTTTCTAAAATGTATCTCCCACCAGAAAATATTTTTGAAAAATAAACCCCCCTCCATAAAAAATTCTTCTTTCCGTTCAACTAACCACTGATTATAAAAATTCTTCTTGTTTGTTATTTTAAGTGATTATAAAGTCGCTTATCAAAGATGTAAGGAAATTGATTTTAAAAATATCCACCCCAAAAATAAATAAATAAAAAACCCTTTAAAAGTACCTCCCCACCAAATATAAAGGAAAAAATGAAAAACACCACTATTAATATATCAAAAATATCCCTTAAGTCTATTTAATAGTTTGAAAGTTATATTTTTGGTGAAACTTTAGTACACTATTTATGTTCAATATATTTTTCTTTGTCTGTTTTTGTATTGCACTGCATTTGATCCAAAATATTCTTCTGTGTTAAATATTAAAAATTACTTTTAAATTTAAAAATGTTGCGTTTATGTTGTTATGTTTGTTAACTTATGTAATGTTTTTATTTAAAAAGAATAATTTAGGTAGCTTAAATGCATGATTAACTTAAGATATTAGCTTTTCTTTTTCTTCTTCTTTAGAAAAAATAATAAATAAATAATTTGATGTGCTTTTCTTTTCATTAAAAAAAAGATCTTCATTTAAGCACATTGATAATAAATAAAAAAAGTGTCATTTTAAATTGAATTTATTCATCATTTTACATTAAATTGTTTATTTAGCAGGTAGCACTAAAATAGTTATAAAATAATACGAAGAAAAAAATAATAAAGAAGATACCTCTTTTATTGTTTCACGTAATCACTACAAGATGACGCTTTTATACTGAGGCAAATATAGACATTATTTCATTTTTCCGCCGTGTTAAATTTTTTCGATCCTCGTGACCGTCACGTTTAGATATTGTTTATGTTTCGGTTTCTTGCTGTATTTTGAAATTTTTGATTTTGTTAAAAATTTTATTCGGATCCTTAAAGGTTTCATATTTAATGTTAAAAACAAGCAAGCGATAATTTTGTGTTGTTATGTTACATGCATTTTCAATGCCTTTGCTGTCTTTATGTCTTTTCTTTTTCCTTAATAAATAAAGTAAGTTTTCTTAAAATGTTTTCCGTATTTTAAATTATATAGTTTCCATTATTTTATTAAAAAACGCAATCAGGTGATAATTTAATATAGAAAATTTTTAGTACAGTTTTCGACTTAAAAAGTAGCATTACTCTGTGAGTTTTGGACTCCAGTTTCATTAATTGATTGAGAGCATGTAACAATTAGTTTCAGATTGTAATTAGGTAGAAAATGAAAAACCCAAAATCTGTCTTTCTTTTACATAGGTTTTAATTTAGAAAAAGTTTCATTAGAACTTCAATATTTTTTGAAATATATTTAAATCTTCTCCATCCATATTTAAAATAATTCATTCTCAGCTTTAAATAATAAATCAGTAGTTTGACCTAGAGTCCGACTATTAACCTAGTGCCTGGCGCAGCATAGCCATTTCTGGCTCTTGTGCCAATAAAATCCAACTAACTAACTAACTAACCATCCCTGTAATTTTTTAAAAATTAACCTATAGATATTAAATATATGTGCCAATTGTAAGTTTTTTTTAACTACAGAAAGAAGCATTCAGATTACAAAAGGATAAAATTATGTTGTTTATTTTTATCTCTACTGCGTGCTTGAAAAGGTTATTCTTACTGTTGGTAAATAAATATTAAGATCTTTTATGGTCTGAAATAATTAAAGACTATCTAAATGAATTAAGATTTATTCCATGCTGTATAGTAAATTACACTTTTGCAAAAAAATAAAAAATTTTAATATTTGCTTCTGTTTCACAATGATGAGTTAATTTGCAGTGAAATTTTGATTCACTGCAACAATTTTCGTTGCTAATTAAGACAAATTTATGCATCTAAATGGCACTTATTGATTATGATAAAATATTTTTTTCAATTCTTTCATCTTGCTAAAAATTTTCACACTATGAAATAGCACTCAGTGGCATGGAAGCAATTTTAAAAAAAAAAGACGATTTCTTCATTGAAAAAAGACTATTCCTAAACTGCGGGAATATGATATGCAGTATGTGGGCTTATGATCTAATGATCGAGTCTTACACATTTTAGGATTTAACCTTAACTGTTTAAAGAGTAATCTCAAGTATGCTAATTAATTAGTACCTAGATGATATTTTACGTTACAAAATCAATCTCAACTTACTTTCCTTGAATAAATTTATCCTTCTGTCGACGGATTTGGATTTCTGATCACCAAAATATAGGTAGCAGCAATTTGAAAATTATGCCCTCAATAGATTGGCCAATAGAGGGATCCAAAGTTTAGATCTGCTAATGCTAATTTCACTTTTTGCGTATTTGGCCATATCTCAAGAAATTTTAAAATGATTTGAAACATTTTTGCACGCAACTATAAGATTTGTTTATCCAAAGATAGCAGGAAAATAGTGGATATTAAAAAAATTTGAAGAAAAAAAACTATTGCAAACAAAAGTTATTCTCTTTGGCTTGTACTTTGTTAGATTTTTCAAAAGAATTCTTTTATTAAAAATTTTATAATCATTTAGTAATAGTTTACTTAGTTTAGAAATTAAAATTTTTTGTTTTTGTTTATAAATTCTATTTAATATTGATTTGTCTTTAAAAACAAACAATTGAAACAACTTCAATTTGTAATCAAAATTTGTATTAGTTTATTTTTAGTATTCACTATATTTAAATCACATTAATTTTTCAGAATGAGTGTGGGTTCTCAGATTTTGGATGGACATTTACAAACAGATGTTTTGGAAGGCACATCTAATCCTTATCAGTAAGATTAATAGTTTAGTTTTTGAAATTAAACCAATAAAATTCGAGTAAAAAAAATTCATTGTAGTACATGTTTTTAAATACAGTCAAAACCCGTTATAGTGAACATGGTTTATAGTGAACTCCCAGATAAAATGAATGAAATGTTTGCTCCCTTGCCTTGCTATACACATATAATATTATTTATTGTGGATATAGTGAACTGAAAGAAGAGTGGAAATTGGATATTATGAAATTTTTCTGTCTTTGACTGATTTTTTCCCCTTCATTTTCTGGTATTTTTGAAATTTCTACATAAAATACATATACCGATTTTTAAAACCATCTATTGAGTGGATTGTAGCCATAAGCATTTTTTCTTGTTTGCTACTTCTTTCTCAGTTTCCCATNTTATAAACATACACCAAATTTAAATTTGACTTTATCCTACACCCTCCTTAAGTAAATATTTAATTTTATTTAAAACATAATTATTTTAATTTTTATGAAAAAGGGGGATAGACTAATAAAATGTACGTTCTCTAAGGGGGGGAGTAAGACCTTATGTACGGTAATGTACGAAAGGGGGGGAGGGGTTTAAAATTTCTCCATTTTTGTGTACGTACTTTTTGAACGGCCTCTAAGCATTTTTTCTTGTTTGCTACTTCTTTCTCAGTTTACCATACCTAAATTTTTTGTACGTAAGATGAAGAATAATAAAAAATAAAAGTTAACACATTTTTTGTTACTACATATTGTTTTTTTAATCATCTTTGTATTTCTTTCTATTGGTCATTTATTTAAATAATGTGTAATAAAAGAGAGCAGTTTGGAAAAATAAGTTAAAATTGTTTGCAGTACAGATATAGTGAACTCCTAGTTGTAGTGAACAGAAATTTTGGTCCCTTGAAGGTTCACTATAGTGGGGTTTGACTGTAGTATGAAATGCTTAATATAAGTAAAAAATAGAATTTCTTTTCTTCTAAAAATTTTAAGCTGTTTTGTTGGTACGGTCTGAAGAGCTTTTGACTGCCACTGCTTAGGTTGGAGCTCCATTCAACTTATTAAGGGCTGGATTTCTGATCAGATTGCACATTCTTGCGTTCCTGTTTTAATGGTTTGAAATCCACTGTAATGTAATGTCTCGGTGCTTTCAGAGCCAGAAAAGTCCACTTATAGTTGAGAGTATGTTGTATAGCCCAAGTGATAATTACCACCGATTGTGATCTGATCTAGATAAATAGTAGTTCAGTTTTTAAAATGAAAGTTAATAAAATTTGAGTAAACAATAAAGCACAGTGAACATGCATCAGTATTGTTTTTAGACCATCATTAAGAATAAATCTAATTTTTTGCAAATAACCCATTAGTGTAACTTAAGTGCAATGTTAAAAACCAAACTAAACTTAAATCTTTAAAATGTCTTATAAATGGGAACTAACAATGAGCAGAAAATTATCAAAGAGTATCAGCAACTAAATAAGTTAGCTATACAAAAATTATGAAATTTTTCTCCTCATAACCCTCCTTTAAAGTTCGATTAAACAAAATCAAGTAGTTCTAATAATTTTCATAAAAATAACTCTTCGTGTCATTTTATATTACTCCAATTTTTAGTGACTTATATGTTAAATCAATTAAAAAACTCAGTGTTAGAGACATACTACAATATGTTATGTCTGCAATAGTTAGTTTTTAATTTTTAAAAAAAATTTACATTTCTAAGAGCTTATAGAAATTAGAGTAAGTGTAAATGGCAACAAGAGTTATTTTAATGAAAAATATTAGAACAGTTTGATTTCTTTTAACTGAGTTACATGCATGTAAAGTCCACAAATCTGATATTTCTAAATGGCAAAATTTCCCAGTAGTTTAAGTGCATTTTGATACATTTTATTCTGAAATTCATTTATAGTTAATTATAAAACTAATATGAATTTACCACATTCTAAGGTTGTGTCTGGGATTATAGATGTCCAGATGTTCATTATTACATAATTCCTTCTTTTTAAAGCCAAATATAATTTAATATGAAATGAAGTATGAAATATAAAATATTTTAGATCCTACACTTGAAAATTACCCCGTAAGCATAATATTTTTTGATAGAATTTAATTAAATTAAGTTCATATTTTAATGAAAGTGTGAAGAACTTATTTTGAAAATTATTTTAAAGATTTAGAGTTAGTATTTTAATTGAATGTAGTAAATGAATTCTACAAAGCTTTTATATATATTTGCATTTCACATTATATGTAACTTAACAATGTTTTCAACAAACAATGGTATAGTGTGCAATTAGAAGTCCCGGTTTGATCTTTTTATTTATTGATTCAGGATAATTATGATCAAATTATTTAATGTTGACAGTTTAGAATATAACTTTTATTCATTGATGAACATTTTTTGTGTCTTGCATAATTAGGGCATAATGAATTTACAGTTTTTAAAGCTGTTTGCTTAATCAGGTGTAACGTTTGTGTTTGTACCATTGTGAACATGTACCTATGTAAGTTCTTATTTGTCTTGTATGAATCTTGTGTAACCTTTATTATAGATTTATCAAATTTTAATTGTTCTTATTTTACACACTCTTTGGATTATTCTTTAAGTAGTTTTAAATTTTTTTTAAATGTATTTTTTATGAGCTATTAAGATATCATAATTTTTCAATTCAGTAAATTTTAAAATTATTAATTAATTTTCAAAATTTTGACTTCTTGTGGGTTTTAAAAAGAATAATCTTATGAGGTAAGATGTTGATATTTCTAACTTCTTTTGTTTAGAGCTGAATGGAATTCTTTTTTTTGCCGAAAATTTTACTTGCAACATCTAAAGTCTTTAGCTATAAAAGGGGATTTGAAAGCATGTCACTTTAGAAGCATTTGTTGGAAGGTAAACTCCAATTAGTGTTGATGTATTTAGTGATGCATTTTGTTTGATTTATAATTTTTTGAAATGCATAATATATTTTCATTTTCGTGTTTATTTTCTGATTTGTCAGTTATGCAAGAAATGGAATGTCTAAGCGTGTATCTAAATTATCCCTAAGGTGATGTTGTTCATAATTAAAATGTTATTAATTGTTATTATCACAAATTTATATATTTTATTATTATTATTACTCATATATTAAGCATTTAAAAATATAATCATAATTATAATTGTTATTTTATTTTTAAATTTGTATTTCTGAGATCAAGATTTAATCATAATGATACTTGTAAATGACATAATTTAATATTTGCTTCTATTATTGATTTCTTTCCTTTTTTTCCTTCTGAAACATTACTGATTTGTGTTTTTTGAATATAATTTCACTAAGTTTTGAAAGCAAAAATGTTAACAATTATTTTACTCTCTGAATTATGAATTATTTTGCTGAAATTTTGAAAAAAAATTCGTTTCTAATTCTTTTTGGTTTTCTAGTCTTTTTACAACTTATAGTGATTTAATTTACTTATTTGATTCTATCATTAACTTTACACCTGAGATATTTTAGTATAAAAAAGAGAATATAGTGATGTCATACTTTCCAAAAGTGTCATAATCTCTATTCCATATGTCTATAATTGATGTCACACTTTTTTCAATATTTTTGATCCCCTTTCTGTCAGCTTTGTCACAAACTGTCAGCTTTGATGGTATCCTCTACCTCCTTGTCATGCTATACTACACAAACATATATTTTAAGTTTATAAACAAAACACTTTGTAATAGATCAAAGTTAAAAATTTAGTTTTAAACTTCTAACTATGTGTTTTAATGATATTGAGCATAGGAATTAAAATACTTCATCTATTTCTTTTTTAATGTTTTTGTTTTAATACGCGTGTTGTCTCAATTAATAATTAATGACTATGAATAATAACTATAGATGATAACTACGAATAACAACTATGAATAGCAACTATGACTTATAACTATGAATAGTAATTAATAAGTGTGTTGTCCCTATGGATTTTTCCATTAATACATACTAAGGTATTACCCATTAAATTTAATCATTAATTGTACTCTTCTGATTGTTATGCACTTAGAAAGTTGTATTTTGATAGTTGTACTCATTCTCTCAAATTTTAACTATTTGCTAAATCATTAGAGGGATAAATATTTGTAAAGAAAAATGTTATATATGGTTAATATTTTTTATTTTAAGATATTTTTAAAATGCTTGCCAGAGGATAAACAATTGTGGATAGATACTATTAAGTCTCAACGACAACAGTATGAGGAAATATTGGATAAGGTGAGGAAATACTCATTTCATTATTTATTTAATTTAGTTTATGTAGTATAATCAATATTTGAAACAGAAGATATCGGCAAATTTTTGTTTCTTCTTTTTTTTTTTATTGATTTTTTGATAATAAGTTTACAAGGACTTATACTTTTTCAGATATTTGGTTTTTCTGGATTTAAAAAAAATTATGCAAAACTGAAGTATTAACTTTCTTAAATTCAAGTATCTGTAGATACAATTGAAATTTGCATAAAATATTTGTACTCAGTAGTTTTTGAATTTTTTGACATTTTATATAGCTTATTTGTCATTCTGTATATTTAAAAATTTACAAATATTCATTGAACAAGTTAAATATATAACTTAGTAATATACTAAAATTTGCTTTATTTTGTCCTTGGCTCTATTATTCAGTCTTTCTTTGCACTAGCAGACATAATTTGTTTTTGAAGGTGAACTTATGAGCCTTTTATCTGTTACGAACATTAATTTCTCCCTATTCAGTTTACTCTTATATTTTTTAGTATGCCACTAATCCAAGGATCATTGATAGCATGGATATTAATGTGAACAATCCATTATCACAAGCTCAGCAAGTAAGAAAGATTAATATTTGAAGTTAAGATTTATAATTTATTTTATCTCTTTTACTAGTATTACAATTGAAATTTTTGTGCTTTATTTTTATTTAAAAAACGTTTTCTTTATTTCAGTTTTTATAATATCTTTAATGTTCTCTTTTTTTCTGCATGCTTAGATCATAAATAGTTATTGTTTTCTCATTTATAGCTTTTTATTTGACACATATTTCTGTTTTATGTGTTTAACTTATAGGCTACACCTATCTGCATTTTTTCGCATCCATCGGGCCCTGTTTAGTTTTAAAAATTTGACAGCATTTTGTAATGTATTTATTGATTGTTATAAATTGTATTCCCTTCGCAAGAGGTAAAACATATTACACAGCATACTTGATTTGCTTTTCTATTAAACAGCAATTTGAAAACAGGACCTTTGAAGACATTCAGACGTTTTTTCTTATTATTTAGTACGGGAAGTTTGGCCTAAGTGAAAGTAACTGTGTAAACTAACTTCAAAAATGTATTATTTTTTTGTGTTAAAAGTATTCATATAGTTGAGTGAGTTCAAGTGAATGACAAGTGTGACAATGTTAAATAGATTATAAGCTTGTAAAATAGCATTGTTGCTTTTTTCATAATTGTTGATTTAGGTTCATTGAAATTCGTTCTGTATTGTTTCATAAAATTTTCCCTCTAAAATATTCTTTTAACTTTGTAATTTCATAGTGTAAGTAAAAATAGTTCATTCATTTTGAAAAAGCTATATTTTTTAAAGTATTACGCATAGACTCATGAAAGCTATGTGAAAAGAACCATAATCTCACCAAGTTTATTTATTCAATATGTGCCCCTTTGATGATGTGACTTACGTCCAAGCAAAAATTAAGCTCATTCCATACATTTTGTAGTATATTCTTGTCAATTGTCTGCACTGCAGCACTGATGCCTTCTTTTTGAGCTTGACCAAGGAATGCAGTAACAGGGGTATGTAAACAAGATCCTTATATCCCCACATGAAGAAGTCGCATTGCATTAAATTAGGGGATCTGGGGAGATTGGGGAACATTGCTAGGTCATTCTCGAAAATAGACCAAATCCAGCGATACCGAAGTTCATCGTTTAGGTAGTCTCGAACCAGGATGTAAAACCAGTGTCCTTGAATTGCCTATACCACAGCAAAAGGCCTTGTTTACATTGAATTTTTTCCATAGTCTCTTCTGAATACATGTTTAATAGCTGTAACAGAAGAACATCGGGCATATTCAGGTACACAAACACTTTTTTCTTTCTCCCCTTTAATTTTTGACAGGTGCTAATCTCATACTGCCACACCCCAATCGAACAGATATTGGGCTTGTACTGCCACCTGGAATATGCAGTTCTAACTTGGTGAATTTGTGGTTCTTTTCATATATCTTTTACGTGTGTACATGTCATGCTTTTGAAAATATAGCATTTTCAAAACCAATTCATCATTCATACTAACACTGTATTTTGCCATTTCACCCTATATGGAGTTTGAGTGTGTTTAATTAATTAAAAGTCATATTTATAGAGTTGTCCAATGCTAAAGGTTAAATTACATCACTTATCTACCATCAATCAGTTAATTGTTTAATATTGTGGTTGTTAATCACAACAAAGTGCTTACAACTTTTGGCTTTCAAGTAGAATGTTGTTAATGAGAAATTGTAATTCTGTTGGGAATTTCAATCAAATTTCAACGGACTATCAATAAGCAATTTTTATTTGATAAAATTGTTAACTCAACAAATAAGGGCAGAATAATTGCTGGTTGCTACTAGTAATTATTCAATCATTGGAACTGGGCCAGTAGAGAGGTAAGTAAATTTGCACCAGCTTAGGTATCTCTAGATATAGGATTTTTTTCAGATGAATATTCGCCATTGGTTTAGTTATTTTCAGTTTATACCTAATTATCTATCAAATTCTGTTCTTTTCAATATTACAAATGAATAATTATTTGTTGTATTTTTATATTAAAATTTATTTCTGTTTTCATGTATTTTGTTTTTATTTTTTACCACTAATTTTTTAAAAATGCAATCGTTACCTTTTTTTAAAAATTTAAATCTTTGATTGAACATACTACAATGGGAAGTGAGTATGTATGTATGCATTTTCATGAAAAAAATAAGACAGATCTCCTTTAAAGATGCTTGTTCCTATAAAATTCATTATCTGTGAAGAACATGTTTTTAATGAGAAATTAAATTATTGTTATTTTAATACAGAGGGGCAGAGGAATTTGTGTTTCATCTTACTATAAATTTAATATTGAACTTAATTTTTTAATCATATTTAGAACTGACTATTAAATATTAAATCTTGTTAAGTAATTGAACTTTCTAGTGCCTAAACCAGTCTCAAATATTTTTCAAGGCAGATGCTGGGAAATTTAAGAAATAAGATATTTTAGGAAAAAAAGTGTTAAGATTAGAAAAATGTTATGTAAGTTTTAGATTACTCTTTGTGCTTACCATGAAAGAACTATATCTTCCTGAAGCCAAGTGTCTCAATATATTGGACAACATTGATGTAATTTTAATCACTAAAATAATGTTTTAAGATTGGTTTTTCTGTTTGTACACCATTTACAAAGCAAATATTTATGTAAAAATATAATATGTTTTACCCTGATTGGTTGAAATTTTTATTTACTGTAAAAAATCATAAGAAAGGTAACAAAATTTGATTCAAGTAACCTTTTGAATAGCTTTATGACAAATATTTTATTATTTGAGTCTTGTGAGTTTTATTTCCTGACCAATGCACCCTAAGAATATCTTGCAATATGTCGTAAGTTCTAAAAATCAAAATTTATAATTTTTATATTGTAATTACAAAAATTTTAATTAAATTTTTCTTATCCCATTTATGAGTTTATTTTTTTCTAAGTACGTACTTCTGCCAATATTTTAAGCTTGGGTGTCAGGAGGATATAACAGAAAATAAATTCATTCTAGATTTTTTTTCCTTAGTTAAACAATAAATTTAAAGTTAGTATTAGCTTAATAAATAAGATAAAATAAAGTTAGGCACTTGAAAGGAAAGTAACTTGTAAGTTACAATGATGGATATTTTTATTGTTTTGAAAGAACCCTTGGATTCAATACTTTGAAGATACAGAGCTCAAAACAACTATCCAGCAAGATGTTGTTAGAACGTAAGCATTTCCATTTTTACCACTTTCTACACTTAGTGTTTTATTAAAATTTGTAATTGCTCCAAATTGTTGATATTTAGAAATTGTAGGTTTTGTCAACATTCATTCTAAATATATTATTTTAAAAATACTGTTGCTCTCTTCTATACAATACTAGCCAAATATTTTTATTTCTTTGATTTGTAATTATTAGAATTTACCAAGGTATAATTATTTCTCATAGAAATTCTTATTTTATTGTAACAAATAATATTTTTGCTTCTTTGTAAGAGCTTCACAATTCTAGATTGCATTAACACATACATTCTAATAGTTTTTTAAAATTGAATTGCAATTTTTTTTGATTTGTTTTGTTGTGTTTGATTATGTGAATTATTTATAAATATTTATTGGATGTAAATGAGTTAAAAAGAACTTATAAAGACATATTCACAAAATATTGTCTCTATGATAACTCTATAACATTTCTTATACTCAATTGTATTAAAAATTTTAGATATTAAATGTATACCTTCTATGAAACTCTAAACTATTAAAATTGTATACATCTTGTCAATACATAAAAACAGGGATGGATTGGGATATTGTGGAGGGCATAACTTTTATAGAGTGCTGTGTGATTAATTTATATGTACAGTAGAGAACCGATTATCCAGAACGATCGGGACCATTGCTATTCCGGACAACTGATTTTTCTAGGTTTCTGAATCACTACAAAAAGCTGTTTTTTTACTGTGAAACCTAACTAAAAAAAAGAATAAATTATTTAAAAATTTTAAAAAGAAGAAAAACGATAAAGTAATATACATAAGTTTAATATGATAAAAAGGAAAAAAATAATGAAATAAAGATATATTCAGGATTAATATAAAATGAACAAAAAAAGGTAAAATGGAAAAAAAAGTGGTGGATGGGCTACATCTTCCTCGTCGCTTTCTTCTACTTCGTCATTGTCTGTGTCAGGATTCAAAACTATCCATTCCATTTTTTACTTCAGTATTAACAAATGAAAATGGAAAAATCACGAGCATTTCTTTTCCCTCCTCTGTGCGAGAAAGACAACATTTAAATATAATTCTGGATGAAAAAAAAAAAAACAATCTTTTGAAAATTTCTAGAGAAAAGAAAAACACAATTTTTTACTTCATTCTTCTCAAATGAGAAGAGAAAAATTGCAAGTATTTCTTTTTTCTCCTCCTATGCGCTAGAAAGACATCGTTTTAATATAATTCTGGATGGAAGAAAAATCTTTAGAAACTTTCTGCAGAAAAGAAATTTAAAATTTTTTACTTCAAAGAAAAAAAATCTTTTTGCAAAAAACTCTTGAACGTTCTGCGACAATATTGTCGTGATTCTGGCACGCGATTACTATCTAGAAGATTTCAACTTGGGTTTCAACATTTTGCTAAAAAATTAATCGAAATCAGAAGGAAAAACATGTGTATCACTATCTTGTTCCTCATTAAGCTGAGCGATTTTATTTCTCCTCCACTCCAGCTAAACATAAATTGGCAAGCAGACACAGAAGCTGACATAATAAAAAGAATTTATGTTCTACCATGTTCTGCCCCCTCCTCACACCCCATTTGAAATGAATGAATTGAAAAACAGGTGCAGTTGCAATACTTGCCCTTGAGTCATTATTCCCTGTTCTATGTTTAAAGCATAGAGTTGGTTCAAAGGGGGAATAGCAGAAATGACAGATAATTTTTTAAAAAATAAGAAGAGTAGGAAATAACTGGAAAAAAGTAAGGGGTACAAGGATAATAGGAAAAATAGGAGTTCTGTAGTCCCTGTGGAAAGTACTTTAAGAGATTTCTAAGAATCAAAGAAGACAAATAAAATTTTGTTTTTAACTCTCCTGGACTAAGCAATCAACAGACATGATGACTCCTGTGAGAAGCTGGTAGTAATGACTCTCCCTACTTAAGGGCCAGATGATAAGAAAACAGGTGTTCAATGAGTCACTCTTTCTCACTGAGCTATGAGTGAAAAGAAGCAACTATGTAGGGGGTGAGGAAGGAAATAATTGATGATATTTAGTACAAGACTCTTACTTCTCTTGACAGTGTATAGGGAACTAATGATTATTTCTAAAATGATGGCAAAGTAAACATCTTTTAAAAAAGAAAGAAAGATCTTAAAATCTTATGAGGAAAAAAAAATTTATCGAATTTCGTTCAGGTTTTCCGTTTTTCTGATTTCTGGATAAGAGGTTCTGTACTGTATATATAAATCATGGATTAAAATTGAAATTATAACAAAAGAAGCAAAAACTTAAGACACTTAGGTAATATTTTAAAATATTACGAAACGCTAATCTGAAAATTTTTTTATAAATCCTTAGAAGAAAAAAAAAATTTTTTTAAATTTTTTTTTTTTTTAGAATGCAAGAATTGATTGTCTCAACAAACAAGCATATATTAAAAGACGTCTCATTTCTTAGCTGCTTTCACACAAACATTGTCACCTCTAATGGGTGTTCAGTATGTCTTTCTCAGTAGCTATCAAAACAAACACTTATAAATGCTTATAATCAACGAAGATGAAACTTGATAATTTTAAGTTTGGGGGACACCCTCTCTCATTTTATTTGAATTAGATGTATTGTTAATAAGTATTTATAAACAATATTCAATGGCATTATACTACAGACTTATGCAATTCACATGAAAAAAAGCTGTATTTTAATTTATCTATTCTTCTAATTATTCTTAGTTTGAATTATTAAATGCAACTTATAACAAATTGAATTAAAAACTACATAAGTTCAGAATAAAAAATAAAAATTCAAATTGAAAAGCTGAAATAGGAACTCAAAGAGAAAAATTTTAAATGTTAAATTGACTTTTTAAATTTTTTTCCAGTAGTAAATACTTTTAAAATTTTCCATCTGGTTGAATTTTATAATTTAAATAACATATACATTACTTATTTAATCTAACTAATGTTGAGTGTTTGACATTGTATTAATTTTTTTCTTAACCGTTTTTTAAGGAAATGCTTTGAATTAATTTTAAATTTACATTTAGATTTCCAGAAATTGATTTTTTTCATAAGAAAAATATTCAAGTAATGATGTCTAGTATACTATTTTCTTATGCCCGAGAATTCCCTCATGTATCTTATAAGCAGGTAAGGATCAAATTAAATAGCTTCATATTTATTAATTAAGCAAACTCTACCATTGTATATGAATTTGGTTTCAGGGAATGCATGAGATTCTTGCTCCAATTTTATTTGTCTTGAAGTATGATGTAGAAGGCTATTTGGAGTATTCAAAAGAAAATAAATTAGAGTAAGTTTCATACAGTTTTTGTTTTAAGTGTTCTGTTATTGCTAAAATAATAAAAAAATTACTTTTTTTGCAGCTTAGAGTTGCATATTATGCTGAATCAGAACTACATTGAACATGATGCTTAGTAAGTAATTTTATAATTTATTTGTAGAATCAATGTTTCTCAAATCTCACTTATTCACTTTTGTGACTAAATTTATTATTTTATTTCTAATAAATGTTAATTTCATTCATTCATATATATATATACAAGGAGTGATAAAATGAAAAGATACGAAACGACGTAAAAACGTAACAGTTAAATATTTGCATATTCCGCCATGGGAGAACGTAGCGAGGCATCTCGGAGATTGGAGTCTCTGACTGGGATCAGAGCATGCGCAGGAGAGAGCAGAGGCTCTTTTCAAAAACGCCGTCCAAATGATGTGGCAGTTCATATGAGGAACAGAAACTCAAGCACAGAAAAACCATTAACTTTCTATGTGTACTGTGAGACACTCCGACGCTTACGCAGGTCCATCAAGAACAAAAGACCGGGGCTCCTCACGGAGGATGTGGTTTTGCTCCATGATGACGCGCGTTTACTCGTCTCCAGAGTCACACCCACGGAACTGGCCAAGTTAAAGTGGGAGACGTTAAACCATCTGCCCTACAGTCCGGACATGTCGCCCTGCGATTTCCATGTGTTTGATCCACTGAAGAAACACCTGAAAGGGAAGCGCTTCAACTCGGACGACGTACTCAAGGACGCTGTGAAAGACTGGGTCTTGTCACGGCCACAGGAATTCTGGGAACAAGGAATCCTGCAGCTTGTTCATCNGTCCTGTATCCCGAATCATGACAAATTCATTATAAAGTCTGAGAATTAGATTTTTCTTTAATCAAAGTTTATATTATGCATGATATAAGATAAATGATACAATAGAGTCTCAATAATTTGAGGTGGACAGGATCGGGCGTAAAATTTAATAAACATTTAAATAAATGGAATAAATTTCAGTATTTAATCAATATTATATATTATATTTAAGGAAAATTTATTTACGCTAGAGGATCACGGTACATTTACTGCATTACACCAAGTCACAATATTCATTATATTACTGCATCAGGTTAATTGTACTTTAAAATAATTGTCTAATGTTTTTTGTTTAGAATCACTGTTCACATGTTTCAGTGTTTAACACAAAAATTTGTTTTTCAGCATTCAGTCATAGTAATCATCGCAAAACCAATCCCTCGAACTATCAAGACTCTACTGTAATTATAGTGATATTTCATAAAAAATAGCGATTTTAAAATTAAATCATATCAAAACAACTAGAGATTAATATAGAGAAAGGTGTGAATTTTATGATTATGCAATTACTGGTGTGAATTTCATGATTATGTAATTACTGGAAAGCCATTGTCAATAAAATCAATCAAAAGCAAAGTTTAAGCTTGTAAAAAATATTTCACAAAACATAGAAAAATTTAAAATAGCATTTGTTTTTACTGAAAGTGAATGCATGTGCTTGGCATAAATAAAAAATAGAAACTATGAAGGAAATAACTTACTAACTGTCAAACTTAAAAGTAATTGTGTAAATTACTTAGGAGATAGTAATTTTTATTTTAATGATATGAAAAAGTTGATTAAAATATATACTTGAATATATTTAAAAGTAAATTAAATTATAATACAAAAAAATAATAATTTTTTTAAGTGTAATTGATATGTATCTAGATATATATGTATATATATTTATTTAGATATGTACGTATGCATATATATATATATTTATATAGTTAATATATTATTAAAATGCATGCTTGGATATAATTCATCAAATATGGTTAGCTAATCATAAAACAAAATTTAAATTACAGGCGAAACCAAACTTAGCATTAAAAATTATGTAGATTAACTAAAAATGAAATCAATTTTGTTCCATCAATATCTAATGACAATTTTTTGTGTGATACATTTAAAAAAGGCATCTAAACAAAGTTTAAGCTGCTTTTTACAAAACATTGATGTTTTGAAAGACTAAGAGCTATATTATCCAGTGAAAATTTTATTTTGTTATGTCCCAATATATTTTTGACTGACTATAAAGGACTAAATGGTGAAATTTTATAACCAAACATTATGAAAACTTTTACATCAAAAATATAAGTAGACAATCAAAAGTTTCTGTATAACCTTTTTTTCTGGTTTCCTTTTATCCAAAATAATTTTTCAAAAATCAGAAAGACAAATGTAAAAAGGTAAAATAAGTGTACTTGAAATAATGTAGTCATAGTTAAGAAAACAAAAGAAGAAATTTAACTGGGAAGCCTTGGTGGCTAGTTTTATGATTAATGCCAGCTATGGTTAATTTAATAAGGGAATATTAATAAGAAGGGAATATGAATATTAATAACAATAATTTATTATTTATATTTAAAATGTAATAATATACAGTGATGTAATAGAGGAAACAGTACTAATAAGGAACCCCTGAAGAGCTATGGAACTTTTTATCATTTCGACAATAAGTGATAATTAGTATTATTTCAGCTTTTCTGTATTGTTTAATTGTTTATTCAGATCTTGGTTAACAAATGCTGTTAATTGTCCATGTTTCTGCAAAATATACAATCATGTTTAGCAACATTTTGCATGCTCTTTTCAAAGTGTGCAATTAAATGCTAAAAAAAACTGAAACTGGCAAAAAACATTTTCAAAGAAACATGAATTTGGTGCAAAGATTGTAAAAAAGGACTTTGCATCAAGCCTTGTACTTTTATTCATACTTTTATTCTAATAAATGTTTTTTTAATATTTTGAATATTTACATTAGTATTTATGTTTTACCTTTATATTTCATAAATTGAATCTTAATTCAATGAAGATTTATTTTCAAAATTTTTGGCTTTTAAGCAATTATTCTTTAGTTTTAATTTTCCAACTACCTTTTTTATGATCTAATTCTGTATTAAAAAAAATCTTTTTTTAGGAATGTTTTTTATTTTTTTTAACTATTAAATATATGTATATTTTAAATATGTAATAAAAGATACAAAGTTTTCGAACCTCTTTTGATAAAAAAGAAAAATTATGCAACTAGAAAGTAAATGATAAAATTGCTCTTGGCAAGGAAATTTTTATTCAAATTTGCTAAGTAAAATCATAAAGTTTTCAAAATTTTGGAAAGATGAGTTCAAACTCTAATTTTTCTTATATACTTGCACAATGGTAGGAGACCAAATGAGATATTAGTTGATTGAAATGCATTTTTCTGATTTTGTTTTGAGTTTTATCAAATCTAAGTTGGCAATGTTTCAGCAAGGTTCTCTTAATGATTATGGTAATTTATTAACTATCTTTTGCTTAACTAAAATACTATAGTCTGGTACAACCTGTTTATTCTATGATTCTTAATTTCTGGAAGATAAAAATGTTCAGTTGATGTTCCAACTGAGTTCACACCAAATGTACTAGAACAAAAAATGGCAGCTATGTTTAAGACTTTTTATATTCTACTTTGTTTTTGTTTTGTTAGAATTAAATTCATGTTTGATAGATAACCACCATTATATTCTTATTTTCATGTGTGAAAATGACCATGTAAGGAATTTTAAGTTAAAACTTTAAATCAATGACTAAATTTTGACTTTTCTTGTAATATTGTATTTTGGCTTATTTAGGGATTAGAAGAACACAAATTTATAGAATAGAAATTAGAAACCTGTTATATTGTTCTTTGTACTATATTTAAAACATTCTATAATACTTTTATTACTGCATCATAGATCAAATAGCTATAACTTTTATACCAGTATTTCATAATTATTGCTTGTAAGTAGTGAAATGATAGTTACATCTGATACTAGTTGGTTAAAGATAAAATATTGTGTCATATTATCACTCTTACCTTTATCTTGAGCATTCAAATGTATTTTGATTACTGCATCTTAGATTAAATAATTATAATTTATGTACAGTGTAACGTCTCATATCCGGACGTCCCTTTTTCGGAAGGATCGATTTCGCCGACACTTTTTAACAATCAAAATAAACAAACATCTCATCTTCACCTTTCTTTTAAAAAAAAGAAAGAAAAGGTCTTTTGACACGTTTTCTCGACCATTGAGAGACTGTTAGCGACGCTCCTACTCTGGAATGCAGGAAAAGAGGGAGATTTGTTTTCGAAAGACCGCAACTGCGTCTCCTCCCCTCTCTTTTCCTATGCAGCTGGCTAGTAAAAGAGGCATTTCCTGGAACCTTTTTATTGAAAGAAAAGGGTAAACATGGCAAGTGTTAACATGGAGGGGGAGTCAAAATGGAACATTGAATAGGTCTAAAAGGATACACATCCTTGAGAAACATTCATTCTTCCCCTGACCATGNGACCGCAACTGCGTCTCCTCCCCTCTCTTTTCCTATGCAGCTGGCTAGTAAAAGAGGCATTTCCTGGAACCTTTTTATGGAAAGAAAAGGGTAAACATGGCAAGTGTTAACATGGAGGGGGAGTCAAAATGGAACATTGAATAGGTCTAAAAGGATACACATCCTTGAGAAACATTCATTCTTCCCCTGACCATGTAATATTTAGAAGGTGGGGGGAAAAAGGGGGTCACACTCTTTCTTTAGCAGATTCTTTCAGTCATACAAGAAAAAATAAAGAGAACCCCATCAGCGTGCCCCGCCTATATGCTTGATTGATAAGCAATGATTGGAGAGAAAACAATAATTTGTCACTTCCCCACCCTCAACTTTAATGATCTCTTCTCCACACTTATTTTCTTTCACAAATAAGGAGGAAATGAATTTTTCTCCTCCACCTACCCACCTTAATGAATGACGGGAATTTCCCTTTCTTGCTTGAATCGTTCTAGTTAAAAATGGCGGATTATTATTTTCATAACTGTCAAATTTTTTTTCGTTTTCTTTATTTTAAGCAATAATTTTTTTCCTACTATTTCCTATTTGATTGATTGGATAATCTAATACTAGAACATTATTCCCCTTAAAAATAGTCTTTATTTATTTTTGCTTCTTAGATTTAGATTATTTTAAGCTTTGTTCCAGAATGAAGTGAATTTCCCCTTCCTGCTTGAATCGTTCTAGTTCAAAATGGCAGATTAATATTTTCATAACTGTCAAATTTTTTCATTTTCTATATTTTTAGCAATAATATTTTAATCTGAAACATATTTTATGTTTGATTGATTAGATATTCTAATACTAAAACATTATTCCCCTTAAAAATAATGTTTATTTATGTTTTGCTTCTTAGATTCAGATCGTTTATTAGATCATTTTAAGCTTTGTTTACCTTGGGGGTCAATTATACGGAAAAATCTATTATACAGACTTCTAGAAGTCCCACCGATTCCGGATACGCGACTTTACACTGTACTAATATTTTATTATTATGACTAGAAAGTAGTGAAAAGATAGCTAATATATATTGTTATTTTTCAACATGTTCTCAATATTCTTAATTTATAAATAAATTTACTTCGAAACATAAAAAAAAAATTCCTGTTTAATGTTTGAGCAATACAGGAACTGTTCTGAAAATTGGTTTTAAACTGATGAGAAAAAAACTTATTGTGAAATTTAGCTAAGCTTATTCACTATTACATTTAAGCAGAATAAGTATTTTTCTAATATTTTATAGTTTCTTATTCTACCAATTAATGAACTCTATTGAGCCATGGTATACTTCAAGTGATTATCTTTATGATAAAGTAAGTATAGTTTACATTGTTTTTTCTCTAACTTTATCCTAGATACTGTTTTTAAATAATTAAATTACTCTCTTATTAAAATTAAAATTATTTTTATGAGAACAACTAAATAAAAATATAATAGCATGTGCATATATAATATAAGCGTTTTGCATCTATTTAATAGATTTATTGCTAGGCATTTTTTTCTCGAGTACAAATTATGTTAATGGCAAGATCCATAAGGAATTTTCGGCAAACATTGCAATCTCTGAGTTTTTGAAACTTATCTCTTCATTTGAGTTTTTAAAATAGTTGAATATAATTGAGTGCATAATATTTTAAGTTACTTTTGGAATATTACCATTAATTATGCATATCTTTGGAAATTTTGTAAGCTGAAACATTTTATTATGCATAATTCTATCATGATAAAAGTAAGAGTTTGTGTGTCTGTGTGTATGTTTCTCTTCTAGCTTCAGAACCGTTTGTGCTAGCTTTCTGAAGCTCAGACAGAGGATAAAAAGGATGATTTTAGCTCTGAATCCTAAAATTTATTCAAAAACTTTCATGTGATTGTTTTTGAGTGATGTTTAACAAATGGAGTTTTCTCATTGGCTTGCAGTTGTCATTGTTATAAATTAAACTGCAGTTGATTCTGTTTTTTCAAATGTTTTATAGATAACGTGAGCCATGTTTGCTAGCTTAGCTTTCATTAATAAAAAAGGGTTTTTGGTAATTTTTTAATATTTCATTATTTTTTATTTGCTAGGTCAGATTAACTCAATGGTCAACATAGTGTTAACTGTTCCAAAAATATCCTGATTATCTTGAAAAATGTTGTTTTGATTTATTTATTAGCCTGCATACTATTATTTATGCCAATGATACATATTTAATTTTGAATTTTTTGATGATAAGTACTTATTAAAATAAAAAATAAGCAATGTACTAAGAAATAAAAATAATGGTGAAAAAGTACTTATTTTCTTAGGGGAAATTGCCATTCTATTATTGATGTCACTACTAATTCTTGCTAAAGTTACTAGCTGAAGTTAAGAAGCTATTGTAGTAAAAAGCAAAATTACCAGAGAAATTGTACCTAGTTATTTAAAAGAAGCACAAGAAATTGCCATGCTATTATTGACGTCAGTAACTTAACTAATTTGGTAGTAGTCACTATTGGTATTAAGGTAGTTGGCGCACGTTTGATACCAAATAGGCTTATATAGGTACAACGTATTGTATTACTATATTTGGTTCCTATTAAAACTGCACCAATACTGTGCACTTTTAAAATAGATACTATGAAAACAGCTTTTTTTCACAGCCACTTAAAAGCGAAAAGTACTTGAGAAAATTGAAAAATTGCTTGATCGCGGAGAATTTTCTTATCATTAGTTATCCTCGAGCAACAAAATCATGTCAAATGATGCTGTATACAGTTGATCTTTATTTTGATGAAATGATCTACAAAAAATATATATTTTTAAAAAAAATATATTTCGGTAAAGCCAGCATAAAGGACAAAAAATATTAATAATTTGAAAAATGGAATTTTTTTAAACTATTGATGCGTTAATATAGGACTTTTGTAGAGCTTTATAACACCCATTTATTGATTTTTTCCCTTTATTTTCAACCTGTAGAAAGAGCTGACATTCAGCTAGTAACATATAAATTGAATAAAACTAAAATTTTGAGTACTTTTAGGCTATTTTTAAAGCATAATGTGAAAAAAGTCTTTTATTGTTGCCATTTTACTAAAAAAAAATTAAGTTTCTTACCTTCAATTAGATCTTGAGGTCACACTCTTTTTAGCTACAGAGAGAAAATATTTTAAAAAATTTGACTTAAATAATGGTTTTTATGTATTTCTCATTACATCATGACAAAAAAATGCTAATATTGAAATAGAACATGATAAAAAATATTTTTCATAATTTAAAATTCATATCTAACATTTTACATACAATTAACAATGCATAATTAAAAACAATTTCCATACAAAAGGAATAAATTCAAGTAAGGAAGATAAGAAATTATCATTATTTTTTTTTTCTTTTTTCTAGTATTTTACAAGCTTATACATTGGAAAGTGACCGAAAAATATTTGATACAGATTTGAAACTTATCAAAATTTAAATAGATTTATTTAAAACCTAAAAACTCAACTAATGGTGATGTCTTACTACATTAAATGTCTATTATTCTCATTGCAAAAATCTATTATGATCATAATTATTACATAAAAATTATAATCAAGGTTCTTCTTACTTGAACAGTAACTCTCTCAGCACATGTCCAATAAAATTTTGTAATCAGTCAAGCTTTATCAGATATTTCAGCTTCATCATTTACCCTGTTTTCCATCTACATAAAAACCTAATTCGTATATTCTTGCTAAACCTGGTATCATTTCAGGTATTGGATTATTAACATTGTAAATTTTAAAAATTATTAATTAAAATTATCTTTACCTGCATAAGAATTGCTTGTAAAGGGCATTATTAATCATTATTAATGGAATCCAACTCTCTTTGGAATATTATTTGAAGAGATCAAGCCCCATTTAGTTAGTTTAAATTTTTTTTTTTTGATAATTAAATTTTTTTTGTTTTATAAGTAAGAAGAATTGTCACCATATGTAAATTGATTATTTCAAGTAACATTTATATGATATGTGTTTGTATCATGTTTATTGATTTTTCTACTAGTTTTTCTATCTCATTTTATATTTTTATGTATCTTAATATGCTGAGATGTCTTGTAAAGTATTTTTTTTTATATTTCACGAAGTCAATTGTAGCTGAGCCTTTTACTCAAAAAATGTCATCTTCTCCCACAAATTGTTTGGGCCAGCATCTTAAAAGAATATATGAGCAACTACTAAAACATCATGATAATGAGCTCTTTCGGAGATTAGAAGAACTAGAAATTACGCCTCAAATATTTGGCATGTATGTGGCTTTGATATTTTAAAAATTTTAAAGTATTGTGAATATATAAACCTCATATGTACTTAAAAAACTTATGTTATTTCTTTTGTTATTATTTATTTTTCTTTTTGCATTATTCTGTAGCCGATGGCTTCGTTTGTTATTTGGTCGGGAGTTCTCAATGCCTGATTTATTAATAGTGTGGGATGCTTTATTTGCTGATAGTATAACACTTGATTTAGTAGATTATATTTTTGTTGGAATGTTGAAAGCTATTAGATATCTATGTAAGTATATACACACCTTTTGTTTATTTCACACTATTATCTATTTTTGGTAACATGTTCTACAATATAATTTGAAATATTTAATTTAGTGTTGCCTTGTGACTATGCATCATGTTTGACTTATTTAATGCGTTATCCAAACGTTGCTGATGTGCGTTATATCATTGATTTGGCATTACACTTAAGAGATCCTGGTGTAAGTTTATAATTTTACAAGTATTTTTAATTTCACTGTATTTAGAAAAGTATGTGAATAGATATTATAAAATGTTTAAAATATTTAACACTTTCGCTACCAGAACGCCCGAGACGCCTTATAAGCTAGACTACCGAAAACGACCGAAGTGCCCGTGAAATGGGTTAGAGATTCTTCCCCCTTTTTCGAAAAATAACACGCAAGGGGGGAGGTGTGGCAATAATCGTCCTTGAAGTTAATTTACAAAAAGGGAAGAAAGCAGAGGGATTTTTCAACAAAAGTTTTGTTTTATATCATTCCGCTTTTGTAAAGTTGTTTTCTCCTGTTTATATATATATATATATATATATAAACCAAAATGTATTTTCGCTGTAAAGGTCCTTCGACCGAAAATAATTTTCAATTAAATTAATTTTCAATGATGAGACAGGATGAGTCGGATTTTAATGAATCAGGGGATGAAGATGAATTCGAAGATGTAACACCAACTGAAACTACTGTTGCCCCTAACGACTGAACTTCTTCTGATAATACTTCTCGAGAAAAAGTTAAATGAAACGTTTTATTGTAAAAATAAAATCATATTCTCATAAGCTTAAAATTTATAGTTAAGAAATATAGTATTTTTTGACTTTTTTGAAAGACAGAGAGAGATGTAGAAACAAATATAAACTCAAAATTAATTAACCTAAATTATTAAGCTGGCTACTTCTTTTTGTCTGAACTTTTTTGATTACTTACGTTGAAAAGAATAAACTGGAGTATTGGAGATAAAGTATTTTTTTTAATCATTAAATAATTTAGTTATTGTGCCTTTAAAAATATATCAATTGTTCAAGATAATAAACAGCTCGAAATTTGCAGTGTTTACAGAAAAAAGAAATGGCAGTAATTTAAAAATATATTATTCTGCAAGATTACTAAATACAATTAATTATAAATCTATTTTTAAATATAAAATAAATAATTAAACATTATTTTATTAGAATTAGATCGTAGGCTTTGATGCCTTACAAAATAGTTTTTATATTTATAACAGTAGGATCCAAGAGAAAAAACTGCTTTGATGGGTACCAAAACTATTATTTGAAATTTGAACTTTATTCTGCATTTGTAGTTCGACAGCTGTAAATCATTCACATTGTCTTGCTGTTTTATGAATGCCTCGCTATTTTCACCTTTTCAATGCTTGTTATTACGTAGGTATTGCACTTGAAGCTGCACCGACCCATTTTTTTTATTAATTGTTAACACCTGGTCTAAAAACACGAATTTTACTATTGTTTTTTTTAATGTGTTGGTGTCAAAACTCTTAAAATAGTTAAATCTCTATGAATTTATTTATTTTCAAGTTTACGCCTTATCTTCTTACAAAAGGGTTTCTTCACAGGAGGATTATCTGTAGTTAACTCTAATTTTTCAGGAACGTATTTTTTCCTTCATAATGAATGTTCTATATTCAGCTGTCAGACCACCCAGATGTGTTACAATTTACTCATTCATTTCTGTAGAAGATAAGCGTTATCAGCATAGCTTCTAAAGGCTATTGTTAAATGAAAATTAACATGTCATATAGTAGGTTTTCTCCATTTTTACCTGAAGTTGGGACTGATATCTTTGTCACCAAAATTATGGTGTGGTAGTGTAAGAAATTTCTTTGATATTCCCCTTTCCTTTCAAAGAAATTTCTTGTCACCACACCCATATATACTGCACCATATGTATATAAACAGATGCCGATTTCCAACTGTTCAGTAAAATGCAGAACAATTTAGTCCCATACTCAAAAAGAAATAATTACAAGTGAAACGTGACAGAAAGATAAATCTTAGACTAGAAGGCAGTGTTGAAATAGGAAGTAATTGTGTTCCCTAGCATACGTAAAGAATAGCTGTCTGGCTGATTAACGATGGGGTCGGAGGTTAAAAAATTATGCATTAAATATAGTAGTTAAATATAGATTATTAAATATAGTCATTAAAAATTTTAAAAATGAAATTAAGAAAAATTAATAGTTAGTAAATAAAAATTTAGACATTGTTTGTATATATATATATATTTGCTAAGCTTTGAAGATATTGTTATATAGTTGAACATTTATTTTGTTTGCTTTCAATCCACTTTTTCAATTTATGATAATTTTTCAATTATTAGATTCTTATTAAATTGCACATAAACTTACTTTTACTATAGCAATTATTTATCGAAATTCAAAAGCAGTTTTATTGTTTTAACTTGAGAAAAATTATCAAATACTCGTATGAAGAGGACACGTGGAAAAATTACAGCAATAATGGATGTTTCAAAAACGAAGAAATGGATACTTCAAAATATTTTTATATAAATTATGGAAAGACATATACAAAATTTGGCATCTATTTCGAGTCGTTTACTTTCAAATAATTAAAAATTAGTTAAACAGTTTAGATTATTTACAAGAACCTTATAACAAACAATTTTATTAATTATTATACTTTTTAATTTTCGAACTTAAAAATTTTTTCCGATGCACCGAACTGAAATTCACATAAAAATATAGTTTCTAGATAAGATAATTTATTTGAAAAAAAATTGAACTTTTTGATTTTTTAAAGTGATATAGAAATATTGTACTTAAAATATTATTGTTAAAATAGTTCTTCAGCATTTTTTGAATTTTTATGCCCAAGTTTACAAGCTCTTTTATGGTACAGCACTTGAAGGAATATAATTTACAAATGAAAACTTCATTGAAATGAATTTAATGCTGGATAAAGGGAAAAATATTTTTTATACCTTGAGGAGAAATTATAGTTTCTGGGGATAATATTTTTAATGGTTTCAGAGCCTTGTTAAATAATAAGAAAAGTTTCTCTTATTTCATATTGTAAATTGATATAAAATAAGACACACATTTAGGTTGAATAATATTTTAGTACTATCACCAAATTAATTTCTCCTTAATGACTGATGTTAATTTTAAAATTTGGTTTCTAAGAAATTTAAAATTGATTTTTCAATCATTTAAGTTATTGAATTATATTAGTTTTTGTTTTACAACGAAATAAAAAAGGATTTTATTTGTGCGAGAATATTATTATCAATTTAAATGCTTTATTTAGATTTTGTATTACTGGATTACATGGAATTACATACTTATGTTTCAATATAAATAATAAAATTAAAAAAAAAAAAAAAACCAAAAACAAATGCAAGCATTTATTAACATTTTATAAATCTCGTTACGTTAGCAATATTCTTGCTTCAAATTATGTCTTTCTTCCCTTTGAACTCCTATTTTGGGGATATTTCCACAGGTGAATAAAGAGATGATCAGTCATTCTGTCATTTCAGAGTAAAACTGGGGGTAGGAAATTTTTGCTACTTGTTTTCCTACTTCGGGCATTTGCGGTATTCTGGGCATGTTGTGGTTTGGAGGGCTCGGTATTCAAAGAGTTAATGATAATATATAGTATGTACTTTAAATCTAATATTAGCTGATGTTGAGATGACCAAAGACAGAGGGTTGTAAATTTTTTTAAAGTTACTTAAAAGTTTAAGAAAAACATAGGTTTGGACCCATGGAACCTAGTGTGAAGCATATGAGGAATTTGGTATGAATTAGCTTGATTTCTTTCAAGAAGTTTAATAGAAAACACTTTTGATTCAGGCTTTTGATTTTGAATAAATAGTTTTCTTGCTTTTACAAGGCTGAAAGGAATTGAAGGGCTTATTGCAAGAACAAGGAATTTTAACTTTGAATATTGTTAGGGGGAGGACAAAGAAAAAGAAAAAAAAAAGCGAAAAAACAGTTCTGTGTGTGGTAGTTTTTCCTGCATTTTTTATCACACATAGGTTGTAGTTCTGCCTGGTTCTTGCTCTAATCAAAGAGGACATATTGTCCATAATAAAAGAATTCATTTAGAAAAATTAAAATGTTCACTTACCTGTTTCTTGCATAAAATATCTAGCAATTTATTGAATTAAAAATTATTGCTTTTATGTAGCAAATATTATTCATTGGATTAATATTATCACATTTTGAGCATCGCTAAAAATATTTAAAAAGATCTGATTCCATCTTTGGAAAATAATTACCTTCATTATTTTTAATTACAGATAAATTCAAACAGTTTTAGACTAGGCTTCTAACTACTAGGGCTTTTGTGAAATATTTTAGAGTAATAGGCAATCAGAAACTAAAGCGTTCAAAATTTTGGCTAATTTTGCCAGCATTTTAAAAGCCTCACCATGAAAGAATTGGGACAAAGTAGGGGTAGATTATTATCTATTTTTAGGTTATCTTTTTATGAATTTTTGAAAAACTCACATATAGCTAAGTGGAAAATAGCTTTAAACCAAATTTACTAAGCAAAAATGATACATTAAAACATATAATTTGCAACCACTAGAATAAATTTTCCCACAAAGCTTAGAAAGTTGGCAGCCCTGTATGTCATGTTTTGTTATTACTATAATATCAATGAGAGCAATTCTTGGCATTCCTTATCTATATTTCAATGTTAAGTCTTTAGTCTTCAAGGTTAGATTTTCATGAATTAATATTAAAACTAGTCTGTGAAACGAAATCTAGCACAATCTTGTTGTCTAAAATAATGTACAAATTTTCACCTCAACTCAAATGAGAAGAACTTACTTCAAGCAATAAGCTATGAAAAATCTGCAACTATTTTTGATTTAAATAAATTAATTTTAACAGTGAAATGATCAGAATTTTAGAATATTATGTCAGAAAGCATAATTTTAAACAAAAAAGAAAATTTTAACTTTTTTATAATAAGAGTTTTCTTATTTTTGGTTACAATAAGAGTTTTCATATTTTAGATTCTTTGTTACAATAAGAGTTTTCATATTTTTAATGGTTAATTTTAAATAGAAGATGCTGTTTGCTTTTATGAAATTGAAACCTTTGCATTCATATTTTTGACAGAGTTACAATCAACCAACTGGAAAAGTTGTGAATCCTTTGCAATTGAAGGCTGCTAAAGATAACAAATTTCCTATTGCTTTGAAAACAAAGTAAGACTTGTATTTTATTTCCAAATTTGTTATATTGTTTACTTCATGAGAAGGTGTATTATTTGCAGAAAAAATAGCTTTTACACTTTTTTAGCTCAATAAAACTTCCTAAAGTTACTTCATATGTGAATAAAGCTAATGATAAACGTCCAAATTCTTTCTCCATGACATTGCGTCCTTCCGTGGTAGAGACAGATTCTGGTAAATAAACTTTTATTCTTATAAGTTTCAATTTCTTCTTATCTACATAGCAATTTTAAAAATATGAAAAATTCTAAATCATTGACAACTTAAGACACTCATATCTGACATTGATCAATTTTTATGTTTAACTGGAACTTGAAGTGATCATTGTTTTAATTGTTACTTTCCTTTATTTTTGTTATTTTCATATTTTATTCTCATAATTTTGTCTTAATAGATCAATGGAAATCAATCTTATCCTTTACAAGGATTTTTAGCTATGGTCTCTAATACAGGTGTGTTTCCTTAAAATTATGATTTATTTTCATAGAGATGAAGTGTTCTCTTCAGAACCTTATTTTTCTGTGCAAGTTTTCTTCTTTTAACTTGCAAAATTTTAATTATTACTTACAATATTTTTAATTATATCCGTAATATTTGTAAGATAATCTCTCATATGTAGCGCAAAAATTGTATTAAAATTTTTGGCAAATTGTTTTATAATTTTTCAAGAAATGATCATTTCAATTAATTTTCTTTTCTGTATTGTAATTTTTTTTATTAATATTGTATAAGGTAACTTCTCAACAATTTCCAGTGAAAAATATCATGCATTTAGTAAGATATAGGCAATTTACTAGCTAACAGTTCTGTGGCAATACGACTAAATGAGTTTGTCCTTAAATACTATTTTTCATGAATTATAGGGACGTTATACAAAGTGTATGAAGCTAAAACTATGTATTTTAAAAGTTGTAATTTCTATGCAGTTCAGAATCTTTTTTTTAAATTTTAATCTTCAAATTTTATTTTTCATGCATTAAAAAATTGAGAGATTGTTTTCCCAAATTTGTTTTGTCATTAAATTTTTCTTAGCTTATTTCAATAGAAATTCTTCACTGTATCAAATTTTATCACATTTTAATAATCATAAACTTTTGCTTATAACAGAAAAAATTATTTATTCCAAAGTTAACTGTTGACAAATAGATTAATTTTATATAGTTACTGACATTGCTGAAGGCTAGATTTTTTTAAATGTGCTTTCTTTTATTTTTAGGTGTTGGAAAGTCAACTTGTTTAGTTGATCCTTCAAATTATGACTTGACTCCTGATCATAATGAACTTGATTTTGTTGAAGAATATTATGATACAAATATGTTAGGAAGTCTAGGTGATAATTCTTTTCCTAGAACAACAATTTCTAATGTCATGGAAAGTAAAAGCATTGCTGATCAAGTTTCAAAAATTATTAATGAAGATTTACAGAATTGTTCAACTGATGTATCTAATTCTTCTATTCGTGAAATGGTATCTCTTTCTCGTCCACATGAAAGCCCTATGAAGAAATCTTATTTAAAGAAAGAAAAACATTCATTCAAAGTATTAATTTGTTTTTTTCCTTTATTATTCATTTAGTTTTGTTATAGGCATAACAAAATTCTTAGTTTAAGAAAAGCTTAAAATTTTCCAAGAAGTCCTCATGAAAAATTAGAGTGTTATTTTTGGACAATTTAGGGGGAAAATCTACATTCCTTCCAAATCTTCTGCATTTTGCATTTTCTACTGTGAAGCACTTGTTGGTTTTTCTTATAAATATGCATACCAGTTTCTTGATAAAAAAAAAATACTTATGCTTGCTTGTAAAATGTGCAAAACAAAAAAAGATATGACCCAGATTAACTTTTGTTTTAATGGTTGAATTTTCATGAACTAAGTGACAATCATAATAGTTCAAAAGGGTGAGTAACAATAAATATGTCCTAACTATTAATTAGATTACAGAAATAGACACAAAAATTTGCTTTCTGTGAGTAAACATGCAATGAAATGATAATTGCAGCAAAATACTTTTTTAATAAAAATATTAACTTGCAAGAATAATGTTTTGGTCATGAAGTAATTGGACCATGAAATTAGAAACACTTAGAAGTACTGCTTTATAAAAATTTCATTTAATATTTAAATTTTTTAATATCTAGGTAAAAGTAGATCAAATAAACTTGAAGGTAGGATAAAGTAATTCTATGTTGTTTTTGTTTGTCTAAGTTTCAACTTATACAGCATTTGAAAATTTTCTTGCATTTTTCAGGATGTTTCACTTGTGAATTCTCTAGAAAAAGAAATATCTGATTTAAGGTTGGTTGTTGACTGTTGTGCAAAACAATTAACACTGCATTTAGATAAACTACAAAAATCAATGTTGTGCCAAGAATTATTACATGAAGATGAAATGTACTTGTCTTTAGCTGGATTAAAAAGAGTAAGTTTACTGAAATCTGCATGAATTAAAGCTAAACATAAATCATTTTATGTAGTTTTTCATACGTTGATCATGAGAAAAGTCGTTTTTCATAACTGATCAAACATTTATAATGATGTCATAAATGCTTTAAAAACTAAAGCTCAACCATTATATATGGTTTTAATTCTTATTTACTTTTTACAAATTTTATTTATTTTAAACGAACACACGAGTCACGTATGCAATTAAAACTGAATAGCCAAGTCTAAAAGTTTACCGAGAACTCTTGAAGCTTTAATCCATTTTTTAAAACTTAGTAGGGAATTTAGGAAAATTGGATAAAAATTGTGGTAATATTAAAAAAAATTGTAGGCAACTTGTAATTTAAAATATGTAAATGTTTTCAAAGTTTCAATCCTATCAGGAGATCTTCAAATAATTAGGAGTTCCATGACCTGAACATGCATTAGTGATCTTTTTCTCCTTCTTTGTTTTCTTCTACACTTTTATACTTTTGTGTCTGTTTTGTTTTATGCTTTTGTGTTTACTTCGAGCACCATTTAATTTTGTAATTGTTTTTACCTCGTTTATATGTAAGTTTTAATATTTTTAAATATTACATTCAGTACAATACGATAAAATTTTTCAACATTTATTACAAAATACTCTTTCATTAAAATATAAATTAATTCAAAACTAAGAAAGAAAATTACATTTTTGCAAGTTTTACTTCTAGAAGTAAATTTGATAACAGCTCTTATGAAATAGAGTTTATTAATTTAAACAAATATTCTAACTTTTTAACTTTCAACTCAGAACTCAATTTAGGACAGGACCAGGTTACTTTTATGCATAACAAATTGTTTGTAAAATTGTCATTCATCAACACATGAATAAATAAAAAATTCATTAGTTCGTCAATAATTTAATTATAAAATCAAAGGTTATATCTTGTAGCCCAAAAGTTTAGACATAAAAAAAGTCAAAAGTTAAGATTTAATGAGTAATGAATAATTTAGTTAGAAATATTTTGTATTTCAAATAAATAAAATACCTTGTTTCTCAAATTACAAAATATAATATAAATATTCCACATTCTATTTGTAATGTTCATTTGTTGATGACCAGAATATTTACTTATGCTTTGTATTTTTTTTGTTAGATTAGACTTAATGTGTGGGTGTAACGTAAAAAGAATTTGCATTTTTAAAGTAATAGCAGCTTATATCACACTGCTAAAAACTATTTTATAATTAGTTTGTTTCAAATAAATTTTTTATTTAATAATATATAAAAATTTTGTAATGAGAATTCACATTCATTTTGTATACTTTATTTTTTTCTAAATAGATATTTAATTCTGCTAATTTCATTCCAAAATTCATTTGTAAATATGGAAAATTGTTCATTTTGGTTAAATTAGGGAGTTTAATGTTAACGAATGACTTTCTAACTACAGTTAGGAATTGGTGCTTCAAAAATGTAAAATTGCTGTTTTTAATTGTTATACTTCTGAAAAGATACCATAATTTTTTTTTGCTCTGGTTCCTACCTCAGTCATTTTTTCTCAGGTTATTTCAATTACTGCACTGTAATTATAATAAGATTTTTGTCGAATTTCTGCATTTAAAAAAAAATTAACATATAGTTATGCCAGGTTCCTAAAAATGTCTTTCTCTTTTAACTTGATTTCAAGAAAGTGAAGTTTGTATGGTTATTTTAATAGGTTCGAGACATTTTAAAAGGTACTGTATGCATTGCTGAAGTAATTAAGGATGACTTGGATCCTTATACTATATATGATCATAGTAACACTGAAGTATCTCAGAATAGTCCTGATTCTAAAACTGAGGAACCGAAAGACATACAAAATTCTGATAATTTAGTTACAGAAAATGGTAGTATAAAGACAAATGATGACAAGGATATTTTACAGTGTTCAGTGCCTGTGGCCATAGATTTAGATGAAAATCTTATTTCCGATGATAGTTACAGAACTGTAAATGGTGCTAATGCTTCTTAACATGTCATTAAGTGATATACATTTCCACTAAAAAATGTAATATATTATTTTTCTAACAAATTACCTGTTATCAATCAATATTATCATAATACTTTTTGTTATTTTTTTCTGTGATTTGACGTAATTTTATAATTATTTCCTGATAAGTATTATTTATATATTGTTATTGAACAATGTGACAATTTGATTTTTTTTATTTATTGCTAATAACTGTATTATGTGTGTTAATATTTATTTATATTCCCAAAGCTTTTATTTTGGATTCATAAATATTTACTATTCGCTAACAGTGATTTTGTTTACAATTAATTTATTTTTGTGTAATTTCAGAAACTGATAATAGTTTGAAAAGCTTATAAATAGAATGAACATTTTCCTTATTCTTAAACTGAAAAATTAAAAGAACTTTATTATTTTAACTTAGAATCTTTAATATTTTCGAAGAACAGTATATAAATTATTTAGTGTGAAAATTTACAGTTAACTTATTTTTTGTATATATTACGGTTAGAGTTATTGAATTGCACTAACACTGTGTGAAGTTAACTGTGCATGCATGAACATCCCTCACAAAAATAAGGTATAATATTCTATAAATATCTTTTGTTCATTGTTTTTAGCAGCTTATTATTCTTAAAATATATATTACTTTTTTTTATTTTTTCTTAAAATATTGCTATTTTTCATAATAATAAAATAATGATAGAGTGCAGCGGCCATTCTCAAATTATGACTTAAATTTATGGCTATTTAATTTTATATGTACATACTATAATTTATTTATTGAGCTATTTTTTTTATAAAAGAATTAAAAAAAAACTTTCATTTATTTTATTCGTATGTAACTCACTAAAAAGAAATTATATGTTGTTCAAGGGATTTTTATTTTTGTTATTTTCGCATTTAACACATTCAGGAAAGCATAATTAATTTTTTGTTAAAAAATGATATTTTATACTCTCATCATGTCAGAAATTATTAAAATCCCTAATCTCTTAAACTATATCATATAGTCATATAAGTATTTAAAATAGTATTTCTAATGAAAATGTAGATTTTGCTCACATACTATTGAACAGAACATTTACTTATTATGTTTTATGTTTTTTTTTCATTAGATTTAATATGTGTATTGATAGTAAAAAACTTTTGGTTTTTAAATAATAATAAAGAATTATATTATATTCTAATTCACTTTGGGAAAGGACAAACTGTATACAGATTCTCCCTCTTGTCACTAAAAAATGTGCTTTAAATATGATATAAGTAAGCATTTTTGTATTTTCCTTAAACATAAAAATTTTTAATTTAAATAATATTCAAGATACGAGTTTGTTAGGCTGAAATGTTGCTACATTAATTAGAAAAAGTTAACTGTTAAAATGATTAAAGGTTTAAATGCACGGTACTCTGATATTCTCCAATTTGATGCAAATAAATTGTAATTGTAAATTTAATATACGTAATTACTTAACAATTTTATTTTGCTTTAATAGAAAAAAAACCATTTTGATGAAAGTTTCATGTTTTTACACTTAGGAAAATACTCTGATTTATTTTATTTAGTCCTTTCGTAAAATGATACTTTCTAATGTTCTGGTTTAAATGTATCCTTATTTTTAAATGAATTCAAACCACATTTTTAACATTCCTTTTTATGTATTAAGGTAATGAAATCTTCAGTGTTATTTTTGTGATTTTTTAAAAATATTTTTTTTATTCTTTAGCAAGTGTGCTCTTATCTGTTGTAGTTGCTCTAAATGAGTATATTTTTTATTGTTTAGTGGTTTAATGTAGCATATTTTTGTGATTAACCTCAGTTGACTCATTTTTTTCCCGTTGTCTTGGTTTAGTGCGTTTTTGAAGGTTCTAATGATTTCTGAAAGTGTTTCTATAAATGTTTTTGTTTGTAATTAGTTTTTTAATTAAAATAAAAGTCTTGAATTGAAATTTGAAGAATTTGTTATTTTTTTCTCGAGTTAAAGATGATTCTTCATATTTTTGAAACATAATTGTTTTCTTTTACCATTTTTTAAAAAAAGTTATTTTAAATTAAAGTTATTTTAATAAAAGTTATTTTACTTTAGATTATTTTAAAATATTTTTTTTTTTTTTTCTTTTTGAAACTTTTTATTCTTATTTTTTTTGCCAGTTACATAAAGAATATTAAAATGTCTTTCATTCTCAAACAGAATTTTCATCATTATGATTTAATTTATATTATTTTAATTTTTATTTCTAATTAATTTATCTGCCAATTAAATATACTCAAAGACATTTTATTTTCCTATGAAAATTTGTTTTATTTCAAAGTATTTTGTATGTGTGACTGTGTTTCATATAGATTGTAACAAAATATTAATTTTGGTTCATCAAATTTATGTAAATGATATTGTTACTGTTACTTGTTTAAATTTATGTTACCATATGTAATATTTTTATACCATACATTATTTATGTACTAAAATAATATTTATTACTGTTTTAGTATTTAAATTTTTACATTCACTTATTTTTTATTGATTTTCCAGTGATTTTATTGATTTTCCTAATTTTCCAGTGATTTAAAATATAATATTTATTATGTTAAGCTATATTATATTTTCTTTAAAATAGTAATTATATTAATCTTTTGATTCGATTAAACTATATCATTCGTAAATTAAGTGTGGTAAATTTCTCCAGCTAAAATGAGTCATGTTCTTGGCAGGCTTGGATAGTTGAAAGTGATTTTGATTGTAGATGTTAAAAGACTACTTTTATATAGCTTTATTACAAATTTTGTAATTTTGTGTTTTTATGTATTTGTTACAAGCTTAAAAATTATTATAATTCTTAATTTCTTGATATGTCACAGTTATAAATTATAAATAAGGTAACGTATGTTAAGCATTTTCGCTATTATAATAAGAATTTTCTCTTAATTTTTAAAAAATATTAACTAAGTAGAAGTGAAAGAGATATGCATAAAAACATCTTTATACTTTTTTTTTCTTAATGTAGGATTCAGCCAAAAACATGGTAAATTAAATGTTATTTTTTATTGATTAAAAAGATTGTTCTTAAGTTTACTTTATCTAAATCAATTATAATTCATTTTTATTAGATATCCTTTATGTGCTATTCTCTTAATCCTATTAGAATATTTGAAAAAAAAAATTGTGAATATTTCAGAATAATTCATTCCCTCTCTTATTTAATTATTTTTTTTTTAATAATTTAGGAACTTAGGTAAACTCTTATTGAACTTATGTAAACTTTTATTGAACTTACGTGGAAACTCTTTTTCTTAAATAAACTTTTTTTCTTAAGTCTAAACGTGTCTTTAGCTAACCAGCTAATATATTGTATCTGTGTTACCATATTTTTAAATATGTTGCAGTGATGTGTATGTTTGAGTTGTTATAATATTTATTTCTGAAAATTGATTAGTCAAGTTAAAGCCAGTGTATTTATGCGTGTCTCTCTTTATGTTTACTGCAAACATTTTTTGTCCATTACTCTAATGTATTGATAATCATTTAATTAAAATTTTGTGTTAAAAACTCAAAATATGAAAACTGCTGAGCTATTGATTTAAATTTCTATGTATTACTAAAAATATTTTATAATATTTTTATTAAATAATAGTAAATTTTATTTATGTGTTTCATTCACTTTTTTAGATTGGTTGTCTGTTATTTTTTTATTTTTATTTATAATGATAAAAAAGTTCTGAACCAATTTTTTTACTTTAAAAAACTACCATAACAATATGCAAAACTTTTTGTTGTAGATATTATTCTTGTTGTAAATACTATTTTTTAACACATTGTCATTAGGGTGGTCTATAGCAACATGTTATTTTTTAAAGGTTACAATTTTGCTATCCTCACATCTTAATCTTCTTTCAATTACCAAAATTACAGTTATCACAAAATTTCACTTGAATCGAACTACTACTACATAGTGACCCTTATTTGCCTTGAAGTTCGAACAATCATTGAAAAAAGACAAGAAAAATTTTAAAGTATTATCTATTTTAAACAATGCCACAGTTTTAGTATAGCATTGGATCATTAAGTTAAATCAATCATTTTGCTTCCTCATACTAATTCTACCTTATACATCATAAAGCTGTTTTGTTTACTTGAAAATATCTAGTTTAATTATTCTTGAAGATGCTACCTGTCTGTGAGGTTGAAATAAAATAATGTTAATGTAATCAAAGGGATATTTAAGACACACATTTGTTAAAAATAATATTAAGCTGCCTTTTAAAAATGTAGAACTATACATATTATTTTGAAATCAAAACTTAATCATTCTCTGTTAAATATATCACTTTATTTAAATAAACAAATAAAAGAAACAGAAACACTCATTTGAAAAATGAAAAGCAACAAAACTTTTTAAATACAATGGAATAAATTGTAACACAACAATAAATGTATAAAATTTCAATAAGTTACAAAAATGAATTGGTAAATCATACAGTTTATTTCTCAAAGCTTAAATTAGCTTTGATTCGTCAGACTATGAGCAAAAACAAAAAGTAAAACAACTAATATGCACTTGTACATTAAACAAATACATTATAAAATCACAGGTAACATATTGAATTTGTTAGACATCAAAGAAACATAAAGACTAGATTTGCTAGAATGACATTTTCCTAAACATGAAATACATAATAAATATTTCGCACTGTGTTGAATGATTTTTAGAGCTCTGTTCCTAGCTTTTCAACAATTAACCCTCTAGACAAAACAATTTAAAAACTATTGGCTGATTTAAACACATGATTTTAAAATTCTGAGTAAAGTGTTGAATCAGACTTATTATTTTTCAATAATTTTAAAGCAGTTTTGGTTTATTTCTCAATTGGAAATTCTAAGATAGAGTTGAAGTTTGAGAAATGTAGTATAAGAAGATGGATGATGATTTTCATGATGATCATCTTTCATGTTGATTTCCTTTCAATATTTTTTTCGCGTATCATATTTTATTTATTAAAATATTTTTTTTATCAGACAAATGAAAAATTTAAATATTTACTCGTGTGCTAGATAGAAGCATCACTGCAATTTAATTTATAAATATGCTAAAAGAAAGATATTATCAAGAGTCATTTGAACCTCTTATGCTTTAAATGTTTTGAAACAAATGATTAATTTTGAGTAGTTGAAGCAGTAAAAAAAAAAAAAAATNTTTTATTCTCTCCTAAAAAAAAATCAAGATAATATACTGTTTTAAAATGTTTCATTCTAATTTTGTAACAATCAGCATTTATAAATCTTTGAAATATCTCATTTGCATGCAAAAATCTCGTACATATTTTAGTTTAGTCAATACTCTGTTCAAATAGTTGGGGGATATTGTTGTTTTGATATAAATAATTATAATTTATGTATGTACTAAAAAAATTAAATTAAGCATTTTCACGTTATGATTTTTGTTTGATCTTTTACCTTTGCATATTGGCATCTCTCTATGTATTTGCATGTCAAGTCTTAAACAATTGCACCATGTTTTGAGAAATGATTGATATAAATATCTGATTAAACACCAACTCATCAGTGATAAAGAAATATTTTAGATTAAAAAATATTTTGGTAAGGAGATTTCAACAAAAGTTTCATTCCTAAATTAATTTTAAAAAAACATTAACGATATTTTTAATTAGTAGGCTATTAATATGCTTTTAAGTATTATTTATGATTAAAATTTTGTTCGTTTAATCTTTTTATTATTTAAGACATGTTTTGTGTTTTATTCCAAGGGAATAAAATAAAATAAAAATGTAAAAAATAATCTAGTTATATTAACTTTTTTATATATCTTAAGTCTTTTGATATATATATATATAATGTCTATGTTATGAGATATGTATTGAGATGCACCATAATAAGTTTATAATTTTTTGTATAAATTCAAAAAAAAAAAAGTTTAAGAGCCATATATAGACCTATAACTTCATATACTAAGGAACTCTATGAAAACTAGGCTTGAGAAATGGTGCTAAGAAATTGGAAAAATGAATCAACTAAGAAAAGTTTGTAGATGAGCAAACTCTATCATAAGAAATTTGGTTAATTTTTTTATTTGATAATCAGGAGATTTTAAGCGAATGATATAAAATTCTCCTGCTAGATACCTTCCGACTAATACTACTTGCTCTGATGTTTCAACTATAGCTGTTTGAATCTGCTTTTCATGGTTGATATTCATTTTTATAATTGCAGTATAGGTAATATGATAATTTTAACATCTAAAAATTTTAATATTTGTCCAAAAAATGTCTTGTTATTTAGAAAGGGGTCTTTTCCTATTCCTGCATGATTATCTTTTGTATTATCACGTAGAACATGTCTAGTACTCATTGAAATACATAATTTATGCTTGAAAGCAGTAATGAGCTGGCGTTTGTCATGCAAGCATCTTAACATATTGAATCGTCATTATCTTTCAGATTTAAATTTAACCCATAATACCAGTAAATAATATCATTTCTAAACTTACATTCTGTCTAACTCTGTTGTGAAGTGCTTTTTTTTTCTGGAACTAACAGAATAGTTATGTGGCTGACTATTTCAGGGTCTACTTAGACAAATTGATACACCAAGGAAAACTAAATTCTAGGTGTTTTATAATAGAACTTTAAACATCTGTAATATTCAGCAGTTTTCAGTAATTTTTTTTTATTATTCCCTCTTCAAATAGTGTTGAAATTTTATACGATTAACAATAACAGGAATGAAATGTAGTTAGATTACTGTTTTTATACCTGAATTTTTAATCCAATTCATTTTATACCTAAATAGTTAATTACATGCCCTGAGTATTTGCTATTTATTTCCTTTTCAATGAAACTGAACTCTGTAAAATTGTTCATTACTGTACAATTAATTTCCTGTTTTAACCTACATGATATAAATATTATCTAAAAAAATATTTTAAGAGTATTCTATGTTTTTTTCATATGCTTTTGATGCAGATTTCTAGTATCACACAAAACTTCAATATCCCCAAATTGTTTCAAGCCCCTATCATTTTGAAGTATAAGATCTTTAAGTATTCTTGATTGAAACATGCAGATTGTAAGAAAGCTCTATAGAACACATCGCTGCTTATCCAATGGTTAATGAGATCTTTAGCTCATCAGGAAATTTTCATTTTTCAAAATCCTAACGAATTACAACTATTTAAATATTTATAATTACAACTATTTAAATATGTTAATCAACAGGCTATGATTTTGAATAATTATAATAAGATAAAAAATGTGACAAAACATGGCATAATATATCTCTTGATATATTTCCAATATTAAGTCCATGTAAAACTGTTAATTATATTTTTAAAACTCAATTTAATGTGTAAATTTTTTGTTTACTAAGAAGTCATGCTTATCTTTCAACATGTCACACAAAAATTTACCTTAAATGTATATTTTCATACATGTTTTTTTTTTCATAGTCCTTGAATCAGTAGGCGGAATGGTTGGCGCATTTTGACGATGGAAGTCAGTGTATTATAAAGTAACTGTTCAGTCAAGAATCCGGAATGTATTTCGGAGTTATTTTACAAGCACAATGGTGGGGAGCTGCTACGAATCCCCACTGAGGAGTTCGAAAAGGATCATCAACTCTTCTGTAATACATATACATCCATCCATATCTTTCTGTACATTCACTGTCATATCTGAAATGCGCAAAAAACAAGTTTGCTTACAAGTATTTTAGTTTACTTACAAGTTGAGTTACAAGGATTTTCACACCATAAGAGTATAAAAAAGCATTTAAAAATTATCTTCACTATCACTTGCTGAATCGGCAGATCAAATTGTAAACATATTTTTCACACTCTAGTTTTTAAATTTCTTTGTACCATTTATTACCCCAAAAATATATTTGATGACCTGACTAAGAAAAGGAAGTCTACGTAATACTCACTTACATAAGGGTACACATTTCAATTTAATTCCAAGGATCGTTTTAATTTAAATGCATGTATGGGATATACGTGACAATGTACAATCTGTAATCAATGTTGAATTAAAGGTACTATTTTTAAAAAATCAAAAAAAAAGAAGAAAAAAAAACTTTTGGCTTTTAGTGCTACCTCCTCATTTATTTTATTTATTTATTTAAATTTAGAAAACTATTTTGTGTTTATTTCAATTTCGTTCTCTCTCTTAAATATTGGACGCCTGTGATGCCCATTAATACTCTATTACTTATTAATTGGGCTATGAAAAGAAATTTGTTGGCAAGAATATAAGCATAATTAACAAAAGTTGATTTAAATTAGGGCGGTTATTGTATTTAATTTTACCAAATATGATTTTTTTTATTTAAATAAATAATTTTATTGACATTTAAGAATCTGAAGTTGGGGCCGGGATAGCCTGGTTCGTAGAGCGTTGGACTCGTGAACGGGAGTTCGAATCCAATCGACCGAAGAATCCCTTTGTATTAAATGGTGACTGCTGCACGTTAAATCTGTCGGGGTCACAAAGGCCTCCAAGCTTCTGTAACAAATCAGTATTTCTGGGGGTACTGATCCCTTGAGGAGTTCCCTTGTCTTCTGGATTGAGTTCAACATTACAAGGCTACGGAGTTAAACATTGGTGGTCGCCAACTCAAATTTGGGTCGACTGTACAACGATGGTTATAAAATCAAATTCATCTAAGTTGAGTCTTGGGGGCTCAGGGAATAGAGCGATCGCCTTCCGATGAGGTGAACCGGATTTGAATCTTAGCGGTGGCTGGTTGATTCGAATTCTGCTTCCGTCTGTGATTTGCCAATCTATCGGCTTTCACCGCTAGCTCTACTGTTTTAGCTTTTTTTAAATAAAAAAAAACTTTATTTTTGACTTTTATTTTTAGTTCAGGAAACAAATTTTAAAGAAAAATAAAATATCTTGCATTATAAGTCTGAAAATGTCTACAGCCAAGGGGAAAATCTCTAAAAAAGAGAGCGTTATCGTCTCGTTAAGAACCGCTGGATTGTAAATTAGCCTACCGGCTGTCACCGACCACAGTGCTGACAAGTGGTAGAAGGATTATGGGTTAGAATTCCATTGCCGTCGTAAGTGTGGTAGGTTTCTGTGATTTTCCACTCCATGTAACACCATTGCTGATTAGTTCTTCCCGCACCCTATAAATCCCCCGCGAAGGCTAGTTTGTCCCAATGCTTGTTCCAGGAGTTCTCTTGTCTTCTGGATTGGATTCAAAATTACAAGGCTACGTAGTTGAACATTGATAGTAGTAAATTCAGAATTGGGTCGCCTTTTAAAAGCTTGTTATACTTTTTTTTTAAATGTAGGACGATTTTTTTGTTAAATTTTTCAATTAAAATTACAGAACAATTCTGTGTGTTTTTATTCTCTCCTCCTTCTGTGTTATTTATTATTACGCTCCGTGAATATTCGTTATTTATTGGTCTCCTAAAAAGAAATTAGAAAAATGTATCAATGATATATTCATAGTTAAGTTGCATTACAGATTCTGGAAAAAAAAAGTTGAATGAAAGTAATTTAGTCACCCTCAATTTGTAATACTTACAATGGTGATATTCCAATGCAAGGTCCAGTTTCAGCTACACATCTGTAAGAAAAAACATATTGCTGTACACTATCTTGAATAACTTCAACTTCATTGTCGTAGAAATCATGAGTATTGTTGATTTGCTCCCACAAGCGATTCGTTTTGCAGATCTCTTCTGATGGAAAACTTAATTTTGCCTTTTTCTGGACTGTAGTTGTTGATTCATAACTTTGATTTCTTTCATGGATTTGTTCAGGCGTATCTTCAATTAAATATCTTTTACGCTTAGAGCTGCCTCGACTCTGTAAATTGAAATGAAAGTCAAAAGTGAGACACTATTTTTTTTATATAAATAGAATGTTTGCTAATGTAATAGTTAATGTTAGCCATTAACATTATATATATATATATACTCATACACAGAATTCTCCCTAGGAATAAAAAAGGGCACTTTGATGTTTGACAGAGCACTCGCCACCGTTAAAATTTATCTAAGTGTATAATATTATGTAATAACTAAATTTGAGCCTCAATAATTTTAAATTACCCTTACCTACCTATTGTATAATACTATTGTATAGTTATGTGTGTATTTCAAAAATAAATTCTCACTCCTTTTCAAAATAAGAGAATAATTTGTAGTTTATTAAAAAATAATTATAGGTATGCTAAAATACAACCACTGTGTTCATTTTTTTCTTCAAAAAAGTTAACTTAAAAAAAATGGTAAATTAATAAACAACTTCTTTTTACCACAATTTAAACTTATAATTATAAAAAAATAATCATTTAAAAGTGCTTTTTAAGGGAAAAAGGTATTTATTTAAAAAATAATTCTAAATTTAAGATCACTTAATTCATTTGTATACTCCCTTCCCGAAAAAGAAAAAGTTATAAAGATTTTACCTGTTGAAAATAATTCTATCAAAATAAAGATTTGTAATAGTGATCAGTATGAAACCTATAAGCACAGATAATTTTACCTGTGGTAATTATTACTTAAATTGTTAATTGTTTTTTAAAATGGAATATGAATAAAAATGTAATGTTTTTAAGGGATGGCGGCTTATTTTTACGAAATGGCCAAAGAGGCGCATCAAAGGGCAAGTAGAGCCGGTAGCTCTTCTGAAACCACTTTAGGAAAACACTGTATATATATAGATATAAACAAATAATTTTCATAGACGACGCACAAATAGATTTTTTTTTAGTTTTATTTATATCTTAAGATAAATTCTTTAAGAAAGAGGTTTCCCCAGTCAGGGTCTTTGCTATTCGGACCATAGTTGTTTTAACAGAGGTTATATCATGAAAAAGCCACGCAAAACTCTGAAAGGGAATGGGTTACAAGAATATCTTTAACGTTATCGAGCGTTATCCGAAAGGGAAAATTTAACATTCTCGATTCGTTTTAACAGATAATGGCATACAGACTATAGGCAATTTTCAAGATTTCCTTAATGAGTATATTTCCAAGAATTATCGCCCAATAACTTTAGAAAATAATCTTCTAATTGGAATATTGACTTTTTATGGCTTTTAATGCAAGAACGATTTCTAGGTCTTAAAATTAATCAGAGAATGTATTTTTAACTATGAATTAATGTAGAAAGACTCATATGACACATTCAATGTTTTTACATTTACATATTGAGACGCTCTATATTATATATTTTCTATAATTGGAGTTTTTACGATCCTGGACAAACAGTTAGGTGACGGGAAGTAAATCAAAGTGTCACCTCTGTAGCCGCAATCATGGGATCGTCAAAAAGTGTTTTTGGACAATTAAAAATGTCCGCTTAAGGTGGAAATGCTATGTGATGGTGGGTTGGTGGTTGTTGTAGGAGCAGCACACCTCAAAAGGAACAGAAATGCCACTCCTAGGCTGCAGACCTTGCAACCACTACTGTTTCACATGTTTCTCCCAGAACCATCTCAGGGTAATGAAATCAAGTTGGTTTGATCGCACGTTAACCTGTTCCCCGTTTTAACCACGTCATCGTCGAGAAAGATTACGTTAGTAAAAGGGACGTATAGATTCGGGTAACTAGCAGTGGTCCAGAATGTTCTCCGACGGATCCCGATCCACTATGACAAGTGATTCTGCCTACCAGTTGGTGTGGAGAGAGAGCAATGATTTCAAAAATAAAAAAAATCAATTTCTTATTAAAAAAAAAAAGAGAGAGAGAGAGTTTATTTTATAGCAATTTTTTGGAATGTCCATGAAGTGTAAGTAGTTCAAATTTGGTAAAAAAAGATTATATAGAGTGATTTTATCGTTTATATTTACTGAATAATAATAAGAATAAGTCTTAAATGTAAAAAATCTCAAACCTTCTCCTAGGCGTTAACTATCTTTGTTTAAAAATATATAATTTTGTGATGCCCTTATAGGCATTACATATTTCCTAGCTTTTAAAATTTCTTTAATTTCAGAAATTGAATTTTTTAATCATTCTTAATCCAAGTTTTATTAAATTAAATTATTTATTTGATTCTTATTTCATTTCAATAAAAAAACAAATATAAATATATTAATCTGTTCTTAACAATCAATGTAACGGCTAAATTTTTAAAAAAAAATTCATTAATTCACAGTCGCGACTAAATAGAACATAAAAATCTATTTTTAACTCTCTATTCCTCAGCTATTTTATTTCTCTAACCACAAAAATGTTTCAGTTACAGGGTTATATTAATTCTTATTAAGCGGTAGCCATATTATTTAGTATTAATGACGCAGGGTTGACTTTGTTTTTGGCTATTTTATTTTTCGATAAATGGTCAACTATAGATATCTTCCCACGTTTTTAACATCATTTTAACATCGCGACATTTTAACATCTAGATGAAAATTATCAAAATCACTGTCTTCTCACTTTTTGCAAATTTTTATAAGCCCATGTAATACAGCATTGGAGTAAGTTTTTAAATATTAAAAAATTAGACCACAAACGGCTTTTCATTTTCACAAGATTGTAATTCTTCTCCATATTGACGTTTTACACCATTTTCAAAAGAAGCATGGACAGCGCTGGCTTTAGATACGCTAAACTTGACTAAACAGTCATGGGTGACAGTGGCTAACTCAGAGCAGTATAAAAGTAACATATTATTCGCAAAAAAGCATCATTTCATATTGCGACTGAGCCTTCGTAAAACTGCCTTAATTTAAAATTCTTGGTGTTAGAACTGGAGGGTTTGGGACAGTTCAAGGCCCCTCAGTCCGACAGTTAATTAATTACAAAAATTTAATCATATATATATTTTTAAATTGATGTCTTCCTCTCTACAATGACACATTTTTTTGTTACTGCTTGATATTTTGTTATCTTCGACATTTGGCCATATTTGTATTTTCCTTAAATATATTCTCTCGATAAAGTAACAAAAATTTTTGTTCAAATTTTCGTGATAAATATTATGGAATATTTCCAAGAAATTTCTAGAAAATAATTGGTTGCAAATAATTGTAGTGAATAGATAATTGTTTACCTGTCTCGATGGATGTAAAGAAGTTCCAATATCTGGATCTATATTAGGTCGTCCTTTGCCAACCCATAAATATCTTTGATCTAGGGCTGGATGGTGACGTATATGGTCATACAAAGAACGCATTTTTTGTCGTAACACAGCATACTGTATTTCTGTTAATTGAAGTTCAGGATAAGATTCCATTTCTCTAAAAATTTCTTCTGTATAGGCTAAAAGATGCGAAACAAAAATTTTTAAAATATACATATACTTCTTTTTGTGAGTATCTTAAATATTTTAATTGTTAAAATAAAAATATTGTAACATTAAAATATGTGTGCTTCTGAAGAACTTAATTAAATATGGAAATGAAAATGAATAAAATATGAAGAATAATTGAATAAAATAAGAAAATTCTTCTTAAGGAAAAATAGGACTCTTAGTGAGTTTTGTCTAAATTAAATCATTAAAATAATTCATTATTAATTTATTCTTTTTTAATTAAATTATGTACTTAAAAGAAGGGGGAGGGGTACGAACCCAGAAATAATTGAGATATTATTTGAAGAAAACCCATTTTTTATATTATTAAAGGCAATAACTCTTTTATTTTTATTATTTAATTTTAATTTACTTTTTCGCAATTTCGTGCCTTTTTTAAAAACTTAAATTAAAATGATTCTGTTTCCTCATGATATTAAAATTAAAATTTATTTTTTATTTGTAGCCACATGAAAGAATTTTTTTTATTTAATTAAAATTTGTATTTACTTCCATTGAAAAATGTGAATGGTATAAGATATTCAATTCAAAAGATTCTCTTTATTTATGCTAGTTTGTATCCTCGATTCTTAAAACACGTTTTCAAAGATAGATGGCAGCACCACAGTATTTTTTAGGAGTCGTGTTTAGAAGTTCTTTTACAATTGTTAGGATTCTTTTTGTTATTGGTCATTTTTCATTTTTTTTTTAAATACAGTTACAACACGATAATTATTTAACAAATTCCTCTTTTTTTCAGTTTAAAATTTTAAAAATATAATCTTATGTATATTATTTAGATAAAATACAAATGTGAATCATTTTAGAAGAAAGAGCTATTCACGTCAAAAATGAAAAGCAGTTAAAAATTTAAATGCATGTTTCGTCATTGAGATTCTTATATTGAACATAACTCAACATGAGTGTTTAAAATAGAGAATATAGCTTCAAATGTGAAGGATCATGTATGAAATGGGATGTGATTGTATTGTGTTAAAAAAATAGATCTAGCTGAAATTGCGTGTTTGAGAAAATGAACCCATTGAAAATGCGCTTATTTAATGTTAAAGAGTGGAAAGAAAATTTCTAAACTTCTTATAGCTTTACAAAATTATTTTAGAATCTTGCGCTTACTTCTTTAATCAAGCAAAATCTTAATGGAACAGTCTCGGATTTCGTGTCGAAGAGCTTGAGTAGGTTACAAATGTAAAATTTTTTACTTTATATATAGAACCAATATTATAAATTTAAAACACTCGTGTAAACCCTTTAAAGAGAACTTTAGATCTTTAAAGTCTGCTGAAGAAAAAAAAGGTCGCAACGTAGAGGTGGTTTTTCTTGGAGGTTTCGCTGTACTTTCGAATTCAAAACCGATGATCTTTTCTTAAATAAATAATACATTTATTATAGGTGGGTAAGGAGATAGCTGTATTAATGAACTTTTGAAATAATTTAACGTCTCACGGTGATTGTTGCAATTTTATATATATTTAATAGAAATAATTTTTTTAAATAAAATAATTTTCGTTCACTTATTTTCGTTGTTTTAAAAATTATTATCATGAAGATTTAAATGGGGGTCATAACTTCTGCTTATTTATTTATAACATTTTAGAAACTTTTGCAATATAGTTAGGGCAGATAGAAATAATTTAGATGCATTTTTTCTTAATATTTGATGTCCTCGTTTGGACCTTGTGTTCTAAAAATTCTACATTTAATTTAATTCTAAATATTTGACAAAGAATTTTTCAGAATTTCTCAGTATATTAACATAAAGTTGCTCATTGATACTACATTAAAAATTTGCTATGATGATGTCTGTATTTATTTATTCTTTGTCTAAAAAATGAACTAATATTTCATAAACAATATATATTAATCTACCCAATTCAATTCTTTAATTTTTTATTCTTAAAAATGGAAAATTTAAGATTATTTGTTTCTTTAAAAGAAGTCAACAAAATTTCCTAAGATTATTACATTTGAAAACACATCAATCTGCATAATAATTTGAATTATCTTTACTTGTTGAAATAACTTTAAAATTATCGATACATAATTAATAATTTAAATTTATATACCTGCATTTTGATCAAATAAACAATGCGATGTATTAAAAGAAAACGAATCATTTTAAGCTACTTTCGTTCAAAAATGGAACCAATCACTTATTTTTTTAAGTCTGTCTCATATTTGAAAAAATTGGTACAAGTAGCACAACCTTTAAAGTTTTTTTTTTTATAAATTTTGACTTTTTGTCTTCGATTAAAAAAATTTTGATTTTCATAAGTTAGTAAAATTTGATAACCCCTTTCCCAGGTAGCAGAATATAAACAAAAATATTAAATGTTAATAAACTTTCTGCACACAAAATAATCTTTTAAATTATTTTTTCTTGTGTTCTTTTTAAGTGAATTTATTTCTTAGCTGCTTTCGTTCATAAGGAAAATCTATTTTTATAACTTTTTTTAATGTCTGCCCAAATTGAAGCAACAGCCCCTTGCAGGCCTTGGCTGCCTCAACAGCTGAGGAATGCCAGCGCCTCCTATCCATGGCAACTCCCTTCCAATTTCTAATCTTTAGGGTTTTCATGTCATTTCCGATGCCATTGTGGCGTCCAGTAGGTTTGTTTTATTTTTATTTCCTATATTACATGAAAATAGTTGCAGACAATTGCCATTTTACTTAGACTTAATTGAATGACCAGTGCAGTACTCAACATCAGACAACTTTTTTCCTATTATTTTAAATTATTAAAACAGTTAATTATTAAAACAACATCACGTTTAAAAAATATAAATTTCTTTTTCTGGAGAATGGCATTGTTGGATAAATTGAGACATTGTTTATCGGAGAAATTTGGTAGTGCAAAAACTTGTAGCAGTACAAATTAAACTACTGGTTAAAATCTCAGATGGGTTGTATAGAATTTCGCAACTGTAAAGGATGGGTACACGAAACCTGTTTGAATGTAGAGAAATATTATATGTTATTTCTGTTCTTAAATCTAATCAGCTAACTTAATTTACTAAATGTTGTAAATATTTTACTCACGCTCCTTGATTTAAAAATCCATGTAAGTTCTTAGTATAGAAAGATCATTGTATTAATTTAAGGGATCTAGATGGTTTTGATTTCACCCAGGAAGCATCAATGTACATTTTTTTTTTGACTTTCTATAACTTATATAATATTTAAAGTAAGATTCTGAATTTTTTAAAGGAATATAAAAAATGCACAGACATTATTTAAATGCAAATATTTTTTATGAAAAAATGAAAAGAACTTTTAAATTTAATCTTCTTTTGGTCTAAATTTGAAGAAAAAAAAAGATACTTTGATATTTTGAGCTCATGATAAAAGTTATAAAAATCTAATTAATAATTCGCAACAACTTTTAATAGGCAATCGAACATACTCTTTTTAAAACCATACTAGCTCCGAGAAATTGAGAACTAAAAGTATTTTTTCAATTAAAAAAATAATTTATTGGATTTTTATAAAAAAATGGTTATTTTGACCCCACTTAAAAATATAAATTATAGACTAATATTCAAGTGATAATTTGAATTAGAGCAATATACTACACTGAAACTAATTGCCAAGTTTAATTTAAATAGGTTTATTAGAAGTCGAGTAATCTTGGTGAGGGTGACAAAATTTAAATTGTGAAAAGTAGATTTAAAGACAAAAAATTTAATAATTAACTTTAAATAAAAAAGTGAGTTTGTGGATGATTCCAATTAAGAAAATGAAAGTGTCATTTTTTGATTTCAATCAGGGGGTTTCAGTATCTTAGCCGTATATTTGGAAGTATTTAAAGTACTATCTAATACTTGGTGTCAAATTGTTCAGAACAATACAGGTCATAATATACCTTTTTTACAAAAACTTAAATTTCGTAAAGAAAAACCATCTAAAAGCCTTCATGCAAAAGCACTGTTAGAATTTTCATTCTAAAATTATGATAAAGTAACAGACAGCAGTCTGCCCACCCAATTAAACGTAAAATTTACGGTAAAGAATGTTTTTTACCTTTACAGTTTTGAAACCGTTTACAACTAGAATGATTAAAAAAACCATGAAAACAAAACTATATTGTTTTTAACCCTCTACAACTAACTTGATTTCAAAACCATAAACGAAGAAAATTAAATGGACTTTGGATATAGTTTCAGAAGCATTACGGTGCTGCCATTCATGCGCGAATGAGTTTATCGTATTCTAATAACCCAGGGTCTCAAACTGGGGAGTGCAAGACACTGGACACTCCTCATAGTGTTGAAGGGAATGGATGATATATCGTATTGTCAACGTTGGGACTCGAACCCCCGTTCTCTCACTCACGAGATTGATAAATTAGCCCCCTTGGCAATAGTATGTTGCCATCTGTAAGGAACTAATTGACTTCATTAGGTAGACCTAGTTGGTGCGAGAAAATTCCAGTTGTTAGACCGTATTAGGTGAAAGCAGTTAAGTTTGAATGCCATCGTATTTATGGTTGTTTGACTGTTTTGTTTGAATATGGTAAAATAACAATGAAATAAATTGTTATTTATCAATTTCCTCTGAGAAATTTCTAACAGTGAGGGAAATATTACAGACGGAAAGAATAACGTTTTTATTTTCATTATTTCAATCTATGCATTATTTGAGTCATAGGCAGAAAGAAGTTATAATAAATATACTGATCGGTGGATTACATGCAACTGTAGTACAAAAGTATATTTAAGATCTTATAGAAGAAAAAAAATTGCGATTAAATCTTCCAACTAACGGTATTTTAGATATGAAAAGAAATTGTCTCAAAATCATTTAGATACAAAACTTTGAAATTTTTCTCTTTTGAAGTTAGTGACCAGATACTTAAAAAAGTTTTTAAAATAATATATTTTAAAGGTAAAAAAAGGGGAGTTAAAGAAAAAGCAAACTCTGATGCCACGTATTTAAAATAATATGAATTCAAAAGCATTGAAAACGATTAAAAAGCCAGTATAAACATTCTAAAAGAATAAAAGTATAAAGATAAGAAAATAAATCCAAAACAATTGCTGCTGTTATGAATCCTTAGATAGTGATAATAGTTAATGAAACTAATGATAATAGTAACTGATAAACTATTTACCCAATCAATCAGCAAGGAATACTTTTCATAAAAAAATACGCATTTCATTGCTAAAATACATTCACGCTAAAATACATTATTATTGTTGGTATTCTACAACTTACCTAAATAATCATTTCTTAACAAAAGGTTTAAAAAGGGAAAATAAGCTATAATTAATTCAGTTTACCTTCGCTATATCTATAACTGTTTTTAAAAAATAAAAAAATAGTTCTTTGTAATGTTATTTTTGTGCTTTTTCATCTATGTATATGAAACTCTTATGTCAAATTTCGATAACCTTATAATTGCTTTCAAGGGACACATTTTAATTAAAAAGTATTCTCATTGATCTAGGATTAATTCCTCCGGTATTACCAATTAGAGTTCAGTTATGTAATCAAAAGATTGAATAAGAGAAATTGCTCTTCCTAACATACAAGGGCTCCCTATAGGTATTAGACCCTTATGAATCAAGGATTAATGCCTCGTCTGAAATCTGCTGTATTTAATAAAACTGCGCTGCAAAAAGAAAAGAAAATTTTTTCTCGAGCCTCGTTTCCATTTCTGTTGATTCTAACGTAAAATGACCTTTTGAATCGAAATATCATTCCTTTTTCTCTGCATCATCCAATGGTATTTGGGAACCCCCCTTATTTTATTTTAAAACCGTCGTTAAACCCTTATTTTATTTTATAACCGTTTTGAGTTTACGGTTACCAAATGCTCAACTTCGTAACTTTGTAAGTATGAACCCAATCCGGAAGACAAGGGAACTCCAGGATCAAGTAGTGCAAGAAATCTGCCTTCGTGGAGGACTTTTATGGGACTAACCCACATTTGCGTTACATGGAGGGGAAAACCACGAAACTTTTCCTTGGTTAGGCACGGCAAGGGGACTCTAACCCATGATTCGTTAACCACCGAGGATATTTTATGTCAGCACTCTGGCCGGTGCGAGCCACGTACGGAATTCGTATCGATCAGCCATTGCTGGGATTCGAACCCCGTTCGAATCCAAGCGTGGGAGGGCGAACGCTCTATTTGATTTGGCGAAAGGAAAAGGGGTTATTCATATCGTAAATTTCTTAGTTAAAGAGGTGAAAGGTAAGGAGCTAAAGAGGTGAGAAGTTAGAAAACCGAACAGATGTAGCAAGCAGAGAGTTTTTAGGGATATTTTTCACTTAAATTGTAATAAAAAATGTTTTTATTTCTCCAAAATTTTTTAGTTGATTTGCTACTTACTCAAATACAAGTTACGGCTTTTATTTTTATTTCCAAACTCCCTGTAATAACAAAAATATTTAGACAAAAGTTTTTCATTTTTATGACCGTCGTTGAACAGCCAACCCAATTTCATGGGTTTACGACTACTAATCTTCAACTCCGTAGCCTTGTAAATTTGAATCCAATCCAGAAGATAAGGGAACGCCAGGCTCGAGTATTGGGAGAAATTTGCTTTCGTGGAGGCCTTTCTGATGGAACTAACCCGCATTTGCATTACATGGAAAGGAAGACCACGAAAACCTCCCACGGTCGACCTGACGACAAGGGAACTCTCACCCATGATCCGTCTACCACTGAGGATATTTCACGTCAGCACTGTGGTCGGTGCAAACCGGATGCGGAATTCGTATCGACTGGGATTCGAACCCGGTTCGCTGCATTGGAAGGCGAACGCTCTATCTTTAGCCAAAAGTTTAGCTAAAATCGGGAGAGAGAGAGAGAAAGAGAGAGGCCTAAAACGTTCATGTTTCAGAACAGCTATACGTTTTTAACTCAGTTCTTATGCGCAAGGAATTATGCATCTTTTGAAATTTGTGCGCTTTAACAGCCAAATACGAAAAGACTTTATGAATGATATGCTTGTCGGAGACTTTTGCACGCCATTGTATGCACTCATAAAGTGAAAGACAAATTTTCCTATTAAAAACATTTTAGAATATTGTTTTGTACCTTTTCTCAGTAAACTTTCGAATGCAGCTAAACATGTTTTCAGGAATTATATTGAATCTATATATATATATATATATAAAAAAAAAAAAATAAGAAAATTAGTTTTATCCAAATTAAGAGAGAAAGATGCTTTCAGTTAATTTTCGTAACTTTTTCGCTAAAGCTTTCGGACCTCCCCGAGTCAATTTTTCACAATTTTTTAATCTATTTTCTAAACATTCAAACTTTCACCAAACACCCCCAAATAATACAAGCTCTTAGTAACAATTTTGACTAAAGCCGTGTGAGGGGGAGCGTTAGTGTGTAATCAATTAAAGAATTGCATAAAAATCCCCAGTACGATCTTTCCTTTAATGATTTTTCTTCTTCTGTTACAGTTCAAGAAAGAAAATACCACCTAAATCTATTACATTGCTACAACTGTTCACGTTTTAGAACTTTTTGACTCGCTTGACCTTCACATAGTGTTTAACTTTAGAAATTATCCCCCCCCCTTCAAATCAAATTAATGAACATGAATTTATTGAAAAGTGATAAACATAGACGGTTGGATGTTCTTAGAAAATACTGGTGGGTGGGCGAAAACGGGGGTGGTATTCTATTTCAGGAAGATATTTTACAAAAAAATCAAAAGGATTGGTTTTAGGACTTTTTTTTTCATGCAGCGCAGTGAAATAAGTTCTCAACACAGTAATCAAAATTTCGTGTGATTTTGCATGGGGATACAATTTTGTGTTACAGCGTTGTGATATAGTGCGAAATAAAAAGTACACAATAATTTAAAATAAAACTGACATGGAAAAATACCCGGAATAGCATGATTTTGATCTTTAAATTAAGCTTTATAAAAATAATTTAATTATAGTTAAGTATGTTCCAAAAAATGTACATACTCATGTACGTCCCTCGGATTTTCTCGGTCAATCTTTGCGATTTGTCAAATCCATTGACAGACATTGAAATATTTCTTTTTTGTTCGAAAATGGGTACGCAAAATATACTGCCCACTACTGCTTATCTCTTATCGAATTTTCATTCCCAGAATATCGAAATAATTAGTTGTTCCATTAATTTAAGTATCTGTCGTATTTGTTGAACGAATATTGCCTTAATAATTATTGTATACAATTTAATTTAGTGTCGCGAATCTTTTATTGATTCTAACTCTCCTAATGTTTCAAGTATATATGCACGTATATACATATATATATGTCGCAGGAAGATTATAAAAACGAAAATTGAATCAAATCTCTGAGGTAGAAGATCAATTCACGGAAGAAGTTAAAATAACTTTCCTTTGGGGAGATTTCCTTAAAGAAAGTAAGTGATTTGATTAAATCCTTTAACTGTTTTAGTGAAAAGATGAAATAATATTGTATAGATATTACGGTCAATGCAATTATCGTTAATATAAATTATCGTCGGTTATTATTGATAATAACCAATTAATTCGAGTAAACTGAATAATCTATCAGAATTTATTACATTTATCCGTTATTATTAATAATTAACAATAAGTTTGGTCAATGTATTAATTTTCGAATTATTTGGCAAGATATTTCCAAAACGCATGCATATCAGGAATTTACTGCGCAAACAGCTAGACAATATCAGTTGTTTGTTACTTTGAATGCAGATGTGCGCACTTTGTATGCGTTGTTCATTTGTTGTGCGAATACTTTGTGCTGGAAAGTTTTTATTCTTTCTTAATGTTTTTTATTCTTTTTTAATGTTTTTTGTTCTTTTTTAATCTTTTTTTAATCTTTTTTAATCTTTTTTATTCTTTTTTAATTTTTTTACTCTTTTTACATATTAATTTTTTAAGGCACTTAACTTTAAAAAAAAAAGCAACAACAACAGCACATTAGTATTGGGTTTTCCTGAAAAATATATACTGGGGCGATGTCACGCAACCTTAAAAAAAAAAAAAATAAAATAAAAAAATAAAAAAAAGCATCAGTGTATAGGGTATACCTGGTGAGTGTAAACCGGTCAGAAATTTAACCTTAAAAAGACATCAATTTATGTTTAACCTGAAAATGGCATTCACTTCCTTTAATTAATCAGACTATTAAAAATAATAGACAGCGATAATTATGAATGGCCACATTTCATACAAGAATATCTCCATTAATCTTTTGTAACGATATTCAAATTCATGAACTCAAGATTTCAAAAAATATCATTCATCAATAGATTAGATAGACAAAAAATCAAGCGGAATGGAACTTTGAATGAATGCTATTGTTTGATNATATATGTATAACTGAATGCTATATACATATTATACCACACATTATGTAGTATTTTTTTTTAAATTAAGAGAAAATGAAAAATTACTTAAATTAGGGAAATTTACTATTTTGCATCTTTATAGTTATTTTCAAAGCTATATCTTTTTATAAGATTGCATCGTAAAAAGTCGGCAATGAGGACAATGCATTCAAATGCATAATATAATAAATAAATAATAATAAATTAATAAAATTAATAGAATTTTGTTACCTTCTATAATTAATTGAATAATTCCGCTTGAAATATGATGTTGATGAAAGGCAGCTCTAGATGTAACTTTGGGAATCGCTGCAAAAGAAAGGAGAAGTTTCAGTAAGTTTAATATATGCAAATTATGTTTTATGTAGCTATTTTTTCTAAATGCATCAATATTTTTATGTAGCTATTTTCTTCAAAATTAAAAAAAAAATAAGTAATCGAGTTGTAAGTAGATTATTTTAAATGGAATTATCACTCAATGAGAAAAGTAAAAGTGTGGAATTATCTGCACACTTCTACTCAGTCATTGGCCAATCATTATCAAACCATCAAAAAAGTTGTATTTAAAATTGATTAATGATTCTTTGATTTTTCTAAATACTACCTATACAATTTTCAGTTTATTAAGTTAGTTTAGTTTAAGACTTTAAGAAAATAAAGGCCTAATGAAGAAGGCTTTTGTTTATTTTTATAATCGTCTATAAGATTAAATTAACCTAAAAATTCACAAACTTTTACAAATTTCTTTCTAGCTTAATTAAAAAAAATAATTAAATATATCCAAAAAAGTTTGTGAGAAATTTTAGATTGACATACTCTTTAAAGATAAAGTGATTCGGTTGTAATTGTTAATTAACTACTGATTAGTTTAAATAAATTTAATTTATGAATAACCTTATTTCAGTAGTTTATTATCCAAGACTATTGAGGTCAAAACTTTATCCACGAAAAATGCTTGTCATAATATTCAACTTTAAAGTTCCCTTGTCTTCAGAGTTGGATTAAAAAATGACGAGAATATGCAGTTGAATGTCATTTCGTTGAAGATAATCTGTTAATTTATGTTTGTTAATGAAATAAAAATGAAATAATATGCACCTTTATGTAAAGAGAGGCAAAAGTTTGAAGTGATTTAATATCTTAAAAATATATTTTAGTCAAAAATAAATTGATAAATTAAATTCACGATCCTTATTTTTTTAAAAACTACTTAATGATGTTGCAACTAATATGATATAGCTCTTCTTGGGGATAGAGTAAATATTTATGAAATTTCAAACAGATCTTTCTATGATATATTGGATCATTTATTGGAAATTTTGTTTTGATGTGTAATGATATTCAAGAAAGTTATGAAAAAAATAAAGCTTTAATTTTTAGGATAATCTTCTATATCTGACCAAAAATGCATTAAAAAAATAATTGAAAATTTAGAATTATTTACTACACTGGCAAAAAAAGCATGTTCAAAACTACCTGAATATAATAAAATTTACCGTGTTTCTGGCTCTATGGGAACTAAAAAACATGGTAATTTTTACCGAAGCGCTGTGGTAATGAATTTGGTAAAATTACTAATAAAATATTGTTTTATAATATGTGTCAAACTTAGATAAATGAGGAAAAATTTAGGAATTTTATCCTAATACTTTAGAGTATGACAAAAAAAAACATTTATTCTGATTAATTTACTTTTCACTTTTATATTTTTCTAAATGTGAGGAAATAAGAACAATAATTTTGAAGACCAGAATTTCCGGTGAACCGTTACCGTTTGAACGGTAATCGTAACCATGTAAAAGATTTAAATATCGTATATTTTGGTTTTATCAGAATTATGTTTTTTTTTCTATGTTTTTACCATGCAGAACTGGAATTTTCTCAGAATTTTTTTCTCCGTGTACATATCATTATGAAAAGTCTCAGTAAAAAATGTTCAAGATGTTCAATTGTCATAACCAATTTCAAGCTCATTTTCTAATAAAACTGTAAATGTTGTATAGTCTACAAAAGTTGAATAAAAATCCTTAATCTGAATGTTTTTTTTCAGTTTAAAAACTGGAAAATTTTGCATATAAGTTTCCTTTTTTATTTTATTCCATTGTTTTATTTCCGTCTTTCAGCCCTCACTGCTTTTTTATATGATGATTTTCAACACTCAAGAATTGATTTTTAACACTCAACTTCTTAACTTTCACTAATAGCTATATAATTATGTCCAAATAGTTGAACTTAAAATTTTAAAAATTAATTATATTATTGAATTACTTATAAAATAGACCGAATCAGTGTGTAGTTAAATTGCTGCAATAATAACATTTAGGAAAAAAAATTCCAGTTCTAAAAATTTTATTCCACTCAGAAATATTGCCTGAAAATCTTGATGCCTAAAAAAATGTCTCACGTTAAATCGGTTTATATCTTTATTTCAAAGTAATAATGGAATAAATGCTTTCACTGCACTTCATTTTGCAATCTGTTTCTCGAAACAATGGTAGATATTTTGCAAAGAAGTGTTTTGCCAGAAGTAACTGTCGTGTTACACATCTTCTTTGGAATCATATGAAGAAGTTATTTCCCAATTTTAGATCTGCAAGCAGAAAGAAAATGATTTTGTAAGCAATTTAATCCTGTTCTCAATACTGAATAATGATGCATACATATGAATCAAACTGAATTTTCTGTTTCGTAGAATTTAAAACGAAAGTGTTCAGTTAATTTTTAGCAAGTGCATCCAATTCTTTTTGAACTTAACATTAAAAAACAGCTAATGAAAATCTTTAATAGTTTTTTCTTCGGAAAATAATCACGGAAATCTGAAGCAATTGAAAATTACAAGTTTCTAAATAAATGTTAGAAACATTCTGTTTGAAATTCACCTTTTGGAATTATTATAATTCAAACGAGAAGAAAGTTTTTTTTTATGTAAAGGGTCTTAAAAAAAGTGCGTTTTTTTGCTTGAAATGTACTGTTTTATGTTTAATTAATGTATGAAACACTATCTCGCTAACACTGTTAGAAATTTCTCGGAAAAAATGGTTAAATGAAAATTTATTTTAATATTATTTTACCATATTCAAATAAATCAATTAAATAACCATAAATTAGATGATATTAAAACTGTTAACTGTGAGAAAGATCGTTTAATAACTGCTTTAATCCAATACGGTGAAACAACCTGAATTTTATTGCTCCAACTAGGCCGATCTAATGAAGTCACTTAGTTCCTTGCAGCTAAGTACGTATTATAGACAAGAGAGCTAATCTGTCAATCTCATGACGACAGAACGGGGATACGAGTCCCAGCGTTTGTATTCATGTTTTTTTAAATTTTTTTTTTAACCATACTAGTTGTAAGTGGTTTCAAAAACCGTTAAGGAGAAAAATGTTCTTTACCGTAAACTTTACAGTTAATTGGATGGACAGACAGCTACCGGTTATTTTACCGTAATTTTAGAATGAAAATTTTTACAGAGAAAATTCTAACAGTCAAGAATGAAGCATAATTATGGAAAGCAGTTATAGAAAATTAAAAAAGAAATATTATCGTCAGAGGCGTGAAAGAGGTTCACTATCGTTACTTTAAATTGGTAAGAATAAAAATTAAATGAAAAATACTTGTCTTTCAAAACAGCTGTGTTTTTAAGTCAGTTTTTATGCTCAAAAAATTTTGTATCTTTTGAAAGTTGTGGCCATTAACAGCCAAATGCTGAAAGACGTTATGAATCATATGTTATCCTGGGATTTTGCACCTCATTACATGCAAGCATCAAGAGAAAGTTGTTTACAAAACACATTTTCCATTAAAAACATTTTAGAATGTTATTTGTACCTTTTTCCACTAAACTCTTGAATTTAGCTAAACACATTTTCAGAAATTATATTGAATCTATATAATTCATGTAAAAAATCAGAAAAATAGTTTTATCCAAATTAAGTAATTAGATTTTTAATTAGACCAAATTAGACAAAAGTAATTAGACTCTTTTATGGTATACGTAGTGATACGTAAGAATAAAGCAAACAAAATGTGAATTGAAGCTATAATTTCGGTTCTACTTACAAGAACCCCCTAAGCTTCGAAACATAGAAAATTCTATTCTATCCATTTTTGTGTTTTATTCAAATTAGTTTTAGCCTGAGGTATATATTTGAGATTTATTTAAATAGCGAAAAGATTTTGAAAATTCGCAACACTTGGAATAGAATATTCGTTTGCAAAAATATATCAAACACTAAATCAAGAACAGGGAACATAGCGGCTTTTCATATATCTTTGCATGTCTCCCTAAGCTGCAGTAGCACATACTTTTTGATCACCTGGATATTTTTAAAAGTTAAGTAATAGCAAATTATTGAATTGCAGAAAATTTTGCTTAACCTTTAGTAATTTTCTCTTTAATTGATTTAATAAATTAATTTGATTAATTAATTTAATTATTTTATTTAATTATTATTTAATTAATAGTGTAGGGCAATTCCGCGAAAGTGTCAACTTTTAAGTGAATTTTTTTTTTTATGAATTGCATATTTTAATTTTAAAAATATGTTCAAAAATAGCCAAAGTCTACATATTACTGTTTAATTTTTGATAATTTTAAGTTTTTTGAATCTGGCAGCATTCTAAAGTAATCACATGGCTGACAAGTGAATTCTTCACATTTGTGCTCAAATTGTTTTCTTGAAAAATACTTATAAAATAAAAGAAATGTATCTTTCTTTTGCAATATTTTGATAAAAATATGCATATAGTACAAAATTTAAACATTTAAAACATAGCCTTTAAGTCATTTTAAGTTTAATATATTAAATAAAAGTAACTTTTTTTTGTGTCATTCCGTCACATGTTTTAGTATATTTTTTTAAATAGCAACTGCGTTTTTGAATGAAAATGT